GAACAACGCGTTAATTTTGTAATCTTGTATCACCTGCAAAGTAGTCGCAAACTCAAACTTTGGTAAGACCACCACACCATCGCCACGGTAGACACCAGCATGACAAATGACAACCAGCGAGTAAATGTGCGACATGGGCAAGAGACCAAGTGTCATTTCGGTGTAGTCGGATTGATTTCGTACATCGTTAATGATTTTGTCTCGGTACGGCTTTTCGAAAGTCGCGATTTGCACTAAGCATTGTTAGACTGATTCGTGTTTTTCGATGCATCCAGGATATCTTACGGGTGTTGGCAATAACATTTCTGTGTGAGATCATGACGCCTTTCTGCATCTGAATCAGCATAATTGCAAAAGATCATCAGTGGTCATTGCTTACAGGTAGACCAGAGGTACCACTGGAGTAGCAAAGGAACGCGGTCCTTCGAGCACCCTCACCGGCCCCCCAGTTCAATGGTGGCAGGCGGTCAAGCTTTGAGCCTTCGCGGATGAAGTCATCCACCGTCTTCTTGTCCTTGGGTGTGCTCCTTCCCGCGATCTTCTCTGGCAACTCGAGGATATAAATGCGGTTTTCGGGGATTCCACAGTTCTTAGCGGCTGCCCGTGCCGTTTCCAATAGAGGAACGCATGTGAAAAGAGCTTTTGCGTGCGAATTCTTGAGCTGATATTCGAGTTCAGAGGCGCTGTAGGCAGCATTGGCGGGCGACTGGATACCGCCTAAGCGATGGGTGGCCCATGCCAAGGGGAGTGTGTCGATCTATTCGTGTCAGTATTTTGGCACATGCGCTGGATTGGAGATTCTCACGGTGTTCAGAGAGAAGACGGCAATGACCTTGTCCCATTCAGATCCTTTGTTTGGGTCGAAGCCAAGCTCCTTGGCTAGACCCCGGGCAAGATAGTCGACGCGTTCTCGAACCTCGAGGCTTTCATACGTCTTGCCTGTCAAGCCGCAAGTAAAAGGATTGTGTGAATAACCAAGCGGATGGCGGCCGTAGTTCTCATCCAACATGAAGTCGGAGATGGGGATCGAGTCGGGCGGATCGAATGGGAGCTTTGGAACCCATGGTGGAGGATAGAAGGGCATCTTGAGTGCTTTCTGCTTACACGTTAGTTACACGCCAAGCTTTGGAGGTCCTGCAGGGACTCACCTCTTGTTCAGCCTCAATTCGAAGTGCAGGAAGGAGTAGAGACGCATGCGAGTGCCGGAGACTTTAAGTCGTTACCCCCGACTTCCACAATGACCTTAGTTCGTCCGGATACTGTTTCTGTTCGGCGCTGATGGCAAGCACCAGCCCCGATTGTGGAGAAGCTGGGGTATGCCGAGGTCATCACCAGGGTGGGCTAAGTCTATTTCCCCGTCGGATTTATCTCGGAATCTCCTAAACGGCGGACTTCGGTGGATCTTGTTTTATGTGTGGACACAGGAAGGAGAAAGACCGAGTGGTCAAGAAAAGCAACTCTTTCCACGGGCCATCCAACCCAAATCGATGATACGCCAGCTCTCATAGACTCGGTAAAACCGGAAAATCAGAAAATGGCGGCCCCATCAGCCGCGATGCAATACCACGCCAAAATACCGCATTGTTGCGACCAGCCTTAGAATGTGAAAGATATTTCACCTTTATATTCATTCAACAAGGTATNCTTACACCCAGTAAAACCGCATTGTTACGACCAGCCTTAGAATGTGAAAGACATTTCACTGTTATGTTCATTCAACAAGGTATTATGAAAATAAAAACTACGCATTCAATCGCACGTGTTTTCTATATAAATTAAGCACGTTATAACAGACATATTTCGTGGTGTTGATGATGAGTTTTGGTGGGCAATGCCCGGTTGTTTTGATTTTCTGGTTTTGCCGGGTGTATGAGAGGCCAGAAAGTTGGCGACTTTCGAGCTTCATATCACCACCACGATATTATGGTCATTTCTATTTGTATGCGTACCATCTTCGCTGTATGCTAGGGTAGCATTCGCAAGCAGAAAAAAAAAGAACTAGAAGGACGATGTGAAGTGCACCCCATTTTGGAGTCTCGCTTTTCTGTCCACCGGGTAGGAAACTAGCGCGACTTTATTGTTTACTGGATTGCCGAGGATTCTTGAATGTATATATACAACACGATACCGGCTATCCATGCTTCTTCGCTGTGTTGGACTTGGATAGAGAGATGGATGGCCACGTGGGTCACGATAAGATAGCGAAAGAGACAGCGACAGAGAAGCGGATAGACAGACACACAGAGAGGGAGACAGAGAGACGTGGGAAGATAGCAGAGTGGAACAACAGGATTGAATTTGGTATGCTACATACGAGTACATATAGTGTCGTCAGGACCAAGGCAGCAAGTCGAAAACACCGTCTTCCAAAGTGCTTCGGGCTGGAGCGATGGATGCCACGACGCGTCTACGCAACGTAGGCCGATCATATCGAATTTCGTCCCCCTAGGTGGTGGGTGCCGGGGCGTGTCAGCAGCTCCCACGTCGACCAGCGTGCGCCGGCCAAGTGAGGATGCGACTGAAGCAAAGCATTCATATCATCTCGGGTTTAGTTACGTGAAGAGAAAAAGAGAGGCGGAGCGACGTGCGACCGAACTGCAAATATTTCCCGCCGGAGAAACGATTCGTCGGCGCCGACGCACCCCCACTCCGACCATACAGCGCCGCTCTCGCTCCGTCATTAAGCGGAGCTCATCGTTTGGTTGCCGCTTCGAGACTACGAGTCCGGCTGTATCGAGCCAGTCTTTATAAACTTGCGCGCCACGCTCCTCGAGCCCTACTACAGTCCAATACCCATGGCGTCCCTCAGGCCGATTTGCAGAGCGCCTCTGCGCCAGCTCACCTCTCGTTTCCCGCCTTCAATCGCCCCTCGAGCATCGTTGCGACAATGGCGGGGCTACGCTACCACTTTGGATGCCCAGCAAAAGGTGCCTTCCACAGTACATAACTTTGAAACAAAGAGGTTACTAACAAGAACTAGATCCTCTCGCAGAACCTTGAACAGGCAGACCCTACAGTCTACGAAATTATCAACAGGGTTAGTGACTATATCCAGCATATGGAGCCAGAATGCCCATGTTTACAATACCACCACTACAGGAGAAGAACCGCCAGAAGCACTTTATCAACCTCATTCCCTCGGAGAACTTTACCTCGCAAGCAGTTCTCGACGCTCTCGGCAGTGTCATGCAGAGTAAGTCCTATCCCGCCCCAGCACCACGCTAAGCTTACATCTCGGCACAGACAAATATTCGGAAGGATACCCAGGCGCGCGATACTACGGAGGAAATGAGCACATTGACGAGGCAGAGCGCTTATGCCAGGAGAGGGCCTTGAAGACCTTTGGTCTGAACCCTGCCGAGTGGGGTGTCAATGTTCAGGGTGAGTCAGTTGCGATGACAACAACAACCACATAATAGCTGACATTCCTGCACCAGCTCTCTCCGGATCCCCCGCGAATCTGTACGCCTACTCGGCTGTCCTAAACACACACGACCGTATCCTGAGTCTCGACCTGCCCCATGGCGGCCACCTGTCACATGGCTACCAAACCCCTACCAAGAAGATTTCTGCTGTTTCCAAGTACTACGAAACCCTTCCATACAGACTAAACGAGAAGACGGGCATTATCGACTACGAAAAAATGGCCGAATTGGCCCATCTGTACAGACCCAAGGTTATTGTTGCTGGCACATCAGCATACAGTCGGTTGATTGAATACGAGCGCATGCGCAAGCTGGCAGACGATGTCGGTGCCTACCTACTCTCAGACATGGCTCATATTTCAGGTCTCGTTGCTGCTGGCGTTATCCCCTCTCCGTTCCCTCATTCCGATATCGTCACCACCACAACCCACAAGTCTCTGCGAGGCCCGCGAGGTGCCATGATCTTCTACCGCAAGGGTGTAAGGAAGGTTGACAAGAAAGGAAAAGAGGAGCTGTATGACCTCGAAGGCCCCATCAACGCATCAGTGTTCCCAGGTCACCAGGGAGGTCCCCATAACCACACAATTACTGCTCTTGCCGTAGCTCTGCAACAGGCCTCAACCCCGGAGTTCAAAGACTACCAGCTGCAAGTGCTGGAGAATGCACAGGCTCTTGCACAACGACTTGGCGACTCAAAGGAAAATGGCGGTCTAGGCTACAATATTGTTTCTGGTGGCACTGACAACCATCTTGTGCTTGTCGATCTCAAGGATCGCGGCGTTGATGGCGCACGTGTGGAGCGCATCCTTGAGCTCGTTGGCGTCGCATCTAACAAGAACACTGTTCCTGGTGATAAATCAGCTATGAAGCCTGGTGGCCTGCGCCTTGGTACACCAGCCATGACCACCCGTGGCTTCCAAGCCTCCGACTTTAAGCGCGTAGCTGATGTTGTGCATCGTGCAGTCGGCATTACCCAAAAGCTAGACAAAGAAGCTAAGAAGAAGGCCGAAGAGAGTGGACGCAAGAACCCCACTAGTGTCGCGGCTTTCAAGGAATATGTTGGTGAAGGCGAAGATATTACTGAGATTCTTGAGCTCAAGAAGGAGGTTGCGGACTGGGTGTCTACATTTGCACTGCCATGGGACAAGGCCCAATGATGAGACATGACATGACGAAAATATGTGCGCACGCTTTGGCGGGATTTTCTGGCGTTTTATTTCCTGAGATGAAGGCAAAAGGATTTGTGTGAATGTATATATATGAGAGGCTTTGTTTTTTTCACCGACTACTAGAACGGTGGCTTGCTTTTCGCCTTCACCGAGCCACCCCTCTCGCTATAATTCAACATCTATTGGGCGAAATCACGGGTATTGTCCGCTCATTCACTCGACCTCTCTTTGTGTAAGCGTGATCTTCATTTGAGTCGTCTTTGATTCTCTAATCATTCCACTACCCATCTTTTTCGTAACTGTTCAACCGTCCTTCGCTACAAGGCGTAGTATTCCATTCGTTTCCAAACAACACCTTGGCAAACAAACACAAAGAAAACCTGTACTACGAACACTGCAGCTCATCATGTTCACCATCTCCACGCTCCCTTGGCTCTGGCTTTCCATTCTTTCCGCAACCATCTCGGTACTTGCGCACGACATTACCTACGTTACAGTAACAACTACATCCACACTCGTTATATCAGTCTTCAATTTCGTACCAACCACGCATCGGACTTCAACACACCCTATATCCACGATTGCATACTCAAACACGAGTATTCCAGCGCTCACCGTCACACCTACAGCAACAATGAACGTACGCCTGAGTAAAGAGAGATATCAGCTTTCATATTCCTCGACTTTGAATATACAAACGGCTACTACCATGGCCGCTCCAGTGAGCACAGCCGCACGTGAGAAAGAAGACACAGAGGGTGATGCGCATGAGTCGCATTCACACACCACGCCTCCGTTTCGTTCCGAAGTCCCAAAGCCCGCGTGGATCATCCCCAGCACCACAGCGCTGCTCTGCTTCGACTTCCTAGCCGTGACGTTTTTCGTATGGTGCTGGGTCATGGGCTGGTTTTCTTGGTGGAGGGGGGACCAAGGCCGTGATCATGGGATGGGACGGGGACGAGGGCAATCATATAGGACGGGAGAAGCAAGAGGCTCAGGCACAAGAGTGCTAGTGAACCAGAACGTAGAGCGGGAAATGAGAATGTTGGGCATGGTATGATTACATGTCCTAGGAGGAGAACCTCATATGTGTAAGAAAAAGTTGTCATGTAGGACTAAAGTCGAGAAGAAGAATGAGAAGAAAGTAAATATGGATATCATTGAATATAATCTCCCTATTCCACCAGAGAAACTCTAATAACAGTCACGAAATGAAACCCCCCCACCCCATTCGTCTTTACATATATAGTAAAAATCACCCATGCATCGTCTGCCCTCCCGGCCCCCGTTCCCAAAACTCGAGCGTCAACGCACTAAGGAAGCAAGGAATCTCCTTCCTACCCTCGACCCAATAAACAATCTGATCGCGAATCTCGCCCGCAAAAACACTCTGCTCCCCGCCACTCACCTTCATGGTGCCATTCTCGCCATCAAACACAATGCTATTTTCCCCTTCCTCATCCGCAGGCTTGAACATGCTGGTAACTTTGACGCGCCCGTTGGGCATAAAGTCGAGTTTCCAGCCCAAGATGGATGCCACGGCCTCGCGGAACTCGAGGGATTTGGCGGTCCAGATTTGTTTGAGGCGGACGATTTTCTTCGATGACGAGGCGAGTTGGGCTTTTAGTTCTTCGAGCTCGTCGCGGGCGGCATCCAGAGTGGCGAGGGGAACGGTCGAAGGGGCTTGTTTGCCGTTTTCGAGTTGGTCGAGGAGTTGGGCGTTTGCTTCGCGGAGAGTGCGCACGGTGCTTAGTTTGAGGGCTTCGGCGTCAGCGGTAGGGTTGGATTTTAGCTCTAGGACGCGGGTGCGGGAGGATTCTTTGAGCTTTTTGAGTTGGGTGTGTTGGGCTGTGTATTCGGACTCGACAATCTTCATCTTCTTTTGAAGCGCGTGGAGGTCGTCTTGTAGCTGTCGGTTCTTTCGTCGTAGCTCGCCGATGCGTTCCTCGTTCTCGTCTGTCTCCAGGGAGCGCTTTTGGCCTGCTGCTGCGGACACGGGCTTCTCGAGACTGTTAAACTCCTTTTGTAAGGTCTCAACTTCTTTGCGGTACTGATCTACGAGATCCTCGAGCTCCTTTATCCGCTCAGACTTTGCTTGATCATATGTGTCAGGCTGCATTTCGCGTTCTTCATCATCAAAGGCCTTCACTTGAGCACGCAGAAACTCGACCTCCTTGGTTGCCAGAGCCTTTTGTCGTTCAAGACGTGCTCGAGCCTTGGCATCGGCGCTGTTCGCTGCACTTGTACTTCCAACTGTCTTGAGCTGCTGGATCTCTGCTTGTAGCTGGGCCTTTTCTTCCTCAAGCGCTTGAATCGTTGCTTCTCTGACCGAAAGTTCTGGCTTGATCTCGCCCAAACGGTTGAGAAGATCGGTCCTCTCTATTCGCTCTTGAATGAAAGCCCGCGCAAGGTCTTGGGGTGTTTCGAAGAGTACTTCGCCGTGTGTCTCGGCTTCGGCCTCCAGGTACGACGTCCAAGAGTCTCGCTCTTCCTCAAGGACCTGTCTCCGCAATTCCGCCTCGCCCAATTGCCGCTGTAGGTCGTCCATCATGCGCAGTTTATTTTGCAATGACCTCTTCTCCTCCTCTACGACTTCGATAGCCTTGTGCTGCTTCCGGTATTGCTTCAGCTCAGCATTCTGCTCTCTGGTCAAGGTCTCAAGCTTCTTGATATGTGCCACCTGATCGGAGAGCTCCCTTTTAATGACCGCCAGCGTCTCTGCATCCCCTGTGATTGCCTTGAGGCGCAAGATCTCGGCCTCTTTCTGTCCAACCTCCTCTTCTTTTTCCGCGAGCGCTCGCTGTGCGTTCTGCAGCGCATTGACTTTAGACTGCAGGTCTACCTGCACCTCCTCCATGCTCTCCTTAAGTTTCCTATGTTCGGTCTGTAAGGTGTTGTACCTGTGGTCATTCTGGCGTTGCGAAGTCGATAATTCCTCTTTGACTTCGTCAAACTCTTCTTGTATCGATTGCGCTCTCTCTTGACTCTCTCGTAACCGCCTCTCCAATGCCAGTCGTTCGTTTGCAGTGCGTGTCTGAAGTTCGGCCATTTCCTTTGAAAGCGCCTCGTATTTCTTGGCCGTTTGAGTGCTCGAAGCCTCAACTTGCTGGGCCTTTCGAAAGTCGGTGTCGGCGCGGTTCTGGGCGTCTCGCAGTTCTTGTGCATGCTCCAACTTCATCATCTCCTTTTCCTGCTTCGCCGTCTCGAGCTCATATCGCAGCGTATTGAGCTGCGCGCGGAGGTCTTCATTGATAGGATCGGAGGGTACAACCGTGTGCGGCGCATTCTGTGAGGCTCTTAATGTGGTTCGGAAGGTTTCTCGCAGAGGTTCTCGTTTCGCAACTACTGGCGCAGGTGCAGGCTCCTCTTCGCCGGTGAGGAAGTTAAAGGATGGCTGGTTCGTGTTGCGCACAGCCATGGTGGGAATAACTGTTGTTTGTTTGTTTGTTGTGCTGGAATTGAGGTGGGTGAAGCTAAGTCAGTAGGGATATGAAGCTGACGGTCGCGACTAGGCCATGGCATGTATTTGGGTATTGTCTCTTCGCTACCAGGCTGACACGGGATTTAGAGAGAGTAGGTGGTGTATGGTCCTTGTTGTCGCAACGTCGGACGAGAGGGTTCAAAGCACCGCTGTTGGATAGGGCTTAGCGTGTAAGGTCCTCTGTCGCGCGCGCACGTGCTAGTGTTTACTCTACAACCACCGCATCACAAAATTGGACATGTCACACAGGTAGTGCGTATTTACGATTGACTGTCGAACCCAGTGTTTCTAGTTGTACACATTCATAGAAACTATACAATCTACTCTTTGATGTCTTCCCATGCCTTTGAGAAGACATCTTCTTGACCGTCTCTCCAACCCCACGCAATGCAATAGTGCTGCAACAGCAGTTCAAGCTCTTCCAGCTCGTCGAGAAATTCTAGACTAGCAATGCGCTCCTTCTCTTCATCACCGATCCATCCCCGCCAAATCGTGTGCGTGTCCGCCGCCTTTGCTCCAGTCTTCAGCCCGTAGCCTTGTAAACGTGCGCGCTGGTCGCCGAGTCCGGGGTACGCAATCAATGTGTGAAGGTAGATGTTACGAGTCCGAAGGTTTGAGATCATGGTTTGGCCAAAGGCGTCTTGTGGTAGAATTGGCTCGTAGAGTACAAGGGAAGCAGGCGTTGTGGGCTGCAAATAGTGCGTCAACAGCGATGAGATTATTGACTGTACTGTAGAAGGCTGCAGGTAGACCAAGCACATCTCTGATAGAATCAGGGTAGGTATGCTGGCATCCAGGTTCGTTATATGAGGCAGAGGCGCCTCATTTGTTGGGTTGGCCAGACAGCGTAGGTCAAGGGCATGGATATTGTAGTTATCTGAATGGTAGGAGTCCGAGTGGGAGGGCATTTGCAGGAGCTTCTTGTGAAGCAGTGGTTGCCGTTGTATGGCAGCAATCTTTGAAGACGTGTTTGTAGGAAAGTCGATTTCGTGATATATCAGTCGCACTTGCGGATAGCGGTCGAGGAGACGAAAGAAGCGTGTGTCAGTGCCAGCACCGAGTGAAACAATCTGCTTTGGCGCAGAAGGGTTCGTGTCGAGGAAACTGGTGACGAGAAGGTCGATGGCCGACGTGCGCACGTAAGTTCCTCTGTTCAGCAGCGGCAGCTTTCTGGTGGCCGGCTGTGTTGCGAACAGTTTGGCATATGGGTCGTGGAGATATCCCAGCTCTACACAGCTCACCCTGCTCCCCGCAGCATCTTGATCGGTACCTTTGACGGCATTGTCCAAGATCTGTGCCCGCTCTTCGCTAGAACGTCCCAATCCGCCTCTTCCAGACCCTCTTCCTCTTGATGACCCCCCGCGACGTTGGCCAAGAAGCGTCTTGAGGTTGGGGATTTCGTTTGACGAGGCCATGCTTTCGTGCTCGAGATGGCCGCACTTGGTGGGGTTAGCTCAAGAACGGCGCTAGGGCTGCTAGCGCACATGCACGCCAAGCCTGAACCTTTGGAACTTCTGTAGATTTCTTTGACGCGACACAACCTCGACCACCCTCGCGCCGACGTTCTCCACCACATCCGTATCCGAACCCCTCTTTCGAGCCCAGAGACCGCAAACATGGACGGCGAAAAGTACAGCCCAAGCTTGATCCGCCTCTGGAGGGTCTGGCGCACCACCAAGGAGATGATGAACGACCGGGTAGGTTGCGCCATGAGCAATGCCAGACTGCGCGCTGACTCGATTCAAGGGTTACATGGTGGTTGAGGACGACATGACCATGTCGCTCGAGGAGTTCTCACGGAGATATGCGCGCGAAGATGGCGAGCCCGAGTAGGCACCATGCAGCACCCTCACCTCTAACCAGCACTAACCTACTCGCAGCCGCTCGCGCCTCAACTTTTCCTGCCAGCCCTCTGAGGAAATGATCGCAAAGTACACCGACGCTCCGACCAAGAAGAACCCCAACCCCACTCCCAACATCGGTACCATCTGGGTCGAGTTCAATGCCGACGAGAACGTGGGCATGAAGCAGCTGCGCGAGTACATGGCACATCTGGTCAACGGCTCCTTCCACTCCGGAATCATGGTCACCGTCAAGGCCATGACCGGTATGGCTATTCGACTTCTCCGCGGCGCTACGAGCATCACCGACGGTCCCAAGGGCGGCGTAGAGGTCTTTGTTGAGCAGGACCTGCTGGTCAACATCACAAAGCATGAGCTTGTACCCAAGCACGTGCTGCTGAGCGATCAAGAGAAACAGCAGCTGCTACAGCGATACCGTTTGAAGCAGACCCAACTACCCCGAATCCAGTCCACAGACCCGGTTGCAAAGTACTTGGGCCTCAGGAGAGGCGCTGTTGTAAAGATTATTCGAAAGTCCGAGACAGCAGGTCGTTATGCTAGTTACCGATGGGTCATTTAAAAAGCAGTCACGAAAAGGTGTGAGGAAATCGACACAGGATGATGCATATGGCGAGGCGTTTGGCGAAACAGACGGAATTTACCTTTTTTTATCCCTTGATATCATCTGCGAAAGACCAAAGTTTATTCGAAATAAATTCACTTCGCGACCAACGTTTGTCCCATTCGAAGAAAAAAGAGCTGAAATCAAGTGATATTGTAGTTTGGTAGTCTTTTCCGCCGAAAGAGAAAGAAGAGAGGTGTATGCTCCGAAAGGACAAGAAGCAGTGGCCATGCTAAGAAATGTCATTCAGGAAAACAAATCGGTTATGATACCTATGAATTGAGGAAGACAGTTAATAATTTGGAGCTCTCATGCTAAATCATACTCAACGCCTTCTTGTGCGAACACACATTTAGTATAGATAGAAGAAGGACTGCTAGACACTGAAATGACCTTGGTCCCTTGTGGTGCCATTGTCAATGTCACATCGCCCATAATAATCTACAAACCCCCGTCGCATATCTCATCCACGCTCATACAACCAGACTCTATTACAAAGCATCAAGCCCTCAAATTGAGATATTAACACCTTTAGCTTAGTCCAGGTACTGCATAACTGTAATGACCCTTCCCTGAGCTGGACTTCAAGACCTCATACGTTACGTTTATTTCTGAAAAGCAATGCTGACTTCAAAAGACCGCTTTTATGAGTCTTTGAACCTCTGTGTAGCCATGCGTCTTGTATACACGAAGCTGACTAGACATCTTATGAGTGAATCATTGAGCGCTGCGCAAGCAGGTCGGTGATACTATTGCAACATTAGCATTATTCTACAGTGCAGATTTGTAAATGGCCGGGGAGGTAAGTCATTGTGGTCCCCGACAAGTATCCATGCGCTCTTTGCATCTCCTTTTTGGGTCATAAAGTCTTGCTCGAGCACGGTGAGTCAAAGACATGACATTGGGAGCCACGTGAATGCGTGTAATCGGCCCTTCAGCTGAAGATCCTGGATGTAACATCGAAGGACGCTGTTTGGTTGCACTCTTGAAAATCGCTACTACTTCACGGTCCTCATGAGCAGTGGCCGCACCCTTCTTGGTCACATTCCAAATCAACCTTGACGAAGGAGGTGCTCGAGTGCATTCGCCGGTATGTTTTCAAGATTTATTGGTTGTCAGGATAAGCATGTTAGTGACGATCTGGTTCGTCCCAGAGCCCGAGAATGATCAGAGCGTATTTGAGCAGTCACTGTGGAATGCACAAGTCCTTCTAGGAATTTGAGCGCCTGTGAACATCCTGAAATACAGTCCTTGCTTGTAAGGCCTTTACTGATAAGGCTTACGTCAATACAGAATAGCTGCGAGACGTCCTGAGCTTTGCACGCTTGATCTACGTAGATGCGAGCTTAAAGTTGGATCTGCCGCTTGCACATCATGACTGGAGGCAACAATATCTAGAAGAAACCCAAGACTGCCTCGTCGTACACGTGCTTCATGATATTGGCGTAACATGCGCAAGCGGTATGTCCACATGCTGAGCACTTTTGAATTGCAACCTGACTGGTGACATGTCCACTTTCGCAATTGCACATTCGGAATTTTAGATTTGCCTCTTGCTTCATCGCATTCAGGTCCAGTCTTTGATATGTTAATGGCTCCAGTAGAGTTCTCTGCATGAGGCTGGACTTCATGATGATTTCGGCTTGTGTAACCGTAGTCTCTCTTGCAGATCGTTTATGGTGAGCAGTCATAGACCATGACCGAAAAGCTCTGGAATTACTAGTTCGAGTCGAAATTATAGATGCTTCAATGGCAACCGTTGAAATGAAATGTCCTGCTGGATCATGGCTTTCATGAGCCAATATAAGTGTGTTGAGAGGCATGTCTTGGAGCAAAAGAAGCTCAATACTGTTCCATACACGCTGATGATTGCTGATATGGTCGTGGAATCGCGGACATAATCCTTTATATTGCTAATTAGGCTCCTGTACTGAGGATTTTTCTTTTGATAAATGCTTGCTTGAACGTTTCGATTTCCGCAGAAAATCCTTATACGCTAGATTGGTATTTCCTTGCATTCTTTTTCCCCAAGGACTACGGTGTGAGTATTAGATATAGCGATGATTAGAAAACGCGCTGCCAAGTCAATTGGTACGCTTAGCGAAGGAGGTCAAGGGACAAAAGAAAAAAGTTGATAAAGTATTCCGTATTACGTACACGTCGACGCGTTCGCGGTTGTAGAGCGAAAACACGTGGGTGAGATGCGCCATGTCACTGCCCCGCAGCAGCGACTCATAACACGAGTGCATACTCAAACCAATTTTGGGTCAGTGATAGAGATGGAACTATTGTCTGTTACTAAGCTAGCAAGTCCAGAGCGAGAGCATGCAGCAGGCTGTTTGAAGTAGGCATAGCCTCACGACGCTGATAGGTTATCAAGGTGGGGAGGGTATTGGTACGGCAATGGTCGAGTCAAGTAGTACCTGCAGCCTGCTTAGCTTGTTCCTTTTTCCACGCCCTTCAGACTGTACACCTCGTATCTTACGTGGCCAGAGCTGAGCAGGTACAGGTGCAAGTACAAGTACAAGTTCTGCTGATTGCAATTGATCCATTACATACTACCGCCGCGTCCCGGATATATCATTGAGAGAGCCATCATGTCCAGCAACGTACCAGCTCCGGCAAATCAGGCCAACACTTTTGAGGACCTTAGCGGTATCTCAACTTCAGCTTTTAGCAATCCATATGATGCATTGATTGCAGCTTGTGAAGATGATCCGGTAAGAGGATCCTAACGTTGGATCTTTAGCATGCTGAGCAGCTATCGTAGGCAAGGATCCAAGAAAAGTACCAGCTACACCGCATCACAAGAAACTCTCAGCAGAAAGCCAAAATGCTTCAAAAAGATTTTCCCGGCGTCATCATAGATCAGATTCTTTTGCGAAAGTGCGATCCCAGCATTGAACCTGGGTTCGAGGATCCGCGTCACTGCTTCGTTTTCTGGGGGCGGCCAACGCACAACGTCAAAGACTTGATACATCGAGTGCAGCAAGAGCTACGCACCGTCGCACCTAGTAAGTAACAACCGGTAGCTATCGAGGATAGAAAAGCTGACGTAATAAGACCTTTGGCTTATGCCGCGGGACAACCTCCATATCACGGCTTTAGAAGTGACACACTCGAAGACTGCCCCAGAGATCCAAAAGCTAGTGGACAGTGTGCGAGACAAGATTCCAGCCATGACCGACTACACTTATGCTCACCGCGCGCGTCTCATCAAGCCTTTGATTGGGTATGATGCTTCAGCGCTGGCTTTGAGCTTCGTACCGGCGGCCGGAGAAGGACTACACGACGGCCGCACCCTAGAGGATGACAAGTTCACATACCACCACCTCCGCCGAGACATGTTTTCTCTATGCCGCGATGCAGGCTTGAATGTCGAGTCTCGCTATGTCGTGCCGTCAAGCCACCTCACCATCGGCCGGTTCATCTATTCCAAGGACTTTGAAACCGACCAAGGCGCCTCCGATCCGGAAAAGATCAAGGCTCTGGTCAGTAAAATTGAGGAGATTAATGAATGGCTCCAGAAGGAATTTTGGCCGGAGCATAACGACGGCAAGATTCCTGACGGAGGAGAGTTCAATTTGGGACAGGAGAAGGGACTGCACTGTGGCACGGGCACGCTCTGGTATGGCGGTGGAGAAGCGGTGCACCAAGGGAAAGGTTATTGACGTGCTGCTGTGAGACGGTTAGACGATCACGACGATCATGCAGCAGCTATATCGAAGCAACATGCTTTTTCAGTATTTCCAAGCGAACTCCAGGTCAAATCTCATTGACCGCCTCTGATTACAACCTCTCCGATAGATACTGTGCTCACCTTATACCAGAGCGCCATGACAGCATTATGCACATTCCAAGCTACCGACGACGCATTGTCGCTAAGCTTGTGGTGAGCTTTGTCCAATAGCTTGTGCAGGCGGGGGCGGGTGGATAACGATTGCTCCACACTGCAGACTAGAGCTTGGTTTGGGTGTAGTAGGCGAACAGCGAGGCTGATACGCCTGCAGGCCCGCCGCTCTTCATCAACAGGCCAATGATCACGAAAGCACGGAAAACAAAATGACTGTGGGTCCAGCGGCTCCCGAAAGGACGGGAGTGTGATGTCAAATTCGGGATTTGTGGGTGAAGAACGCCTAACCCGAGAGATGCGGCAATGTAATATGGGGTCAGTACCTAGATGCCCTGGTCATGATCTTGGGGCATGATTCTATTCGCACCGCACATGACAATGTCGTAGCCACTGCACCGCCTCGTCTATCATGGTAGCTTTCGGCCTTTTACCTCTGGCACGACGATGGTTTCTATTACTCCCAACCACCTGAAAATTGTCGCAACGCCGTCGCGCAGGCTGAATTTGGGGTTCCAAGCATGCAGCACTGCCTCATGCGGGGGACACTTGGTTGGCTCAGACGAGCGCATTTCCGCCCCCATCTCTGCTGTAACCGCCAAAGCCATCTCCCGCATGGTTCGGGTGACAAGGGCCGCGGTTGCAGCATATTGTCCAGATTCACACAGCTGCGCCGCAGCCACCTGCCCAATGTTGTTACGGCAAGTCTTTCGAATGGCTAGCCGCCTTGAACAAAAGATGCATATCATATTCCTTCAAGCTTTTCGCATTCGTTCCTGCTCTACTATTGTTACAGATCATCGAATCGAACATTCTCTGAACAATGGTCACGCTCCCAATCCTATCGCATACGCTACAATCAACGCAATCGCTGTCAACTAGAGCGGAAAAGCTCGAGGAAGCCGAATCAGCGCTTCCCGGCATCAAGCGCGGTATTGCAATCGGTATAGCGTGCTCTGTATCAGTCGTCCTCATCGCCGTCCTCGCTTTCCTGGCCATCAGACGACGGAACCGCATTCTTGCCCAGAGATTGCAACACCAAACACCAGAAGCAGGTGTCGAAGCACAGCAAGAGAAGACTTGGTGGCCGCACGCGCCCCCGCCCGTTCTGCCAGTAGCAACGTTACCACCTCCTCCACCCGTCGAAGTCGACGCTCATATAATCCATGAGCTCGACGCAGGACAAACACCCGAGCTCCATGGCGATACTCGTCCCCAAGAAGTAGACGGAGCTGGCAAACCCCAGAATGCGCCGGAAGAAGCAGAAGAGCTGTATGTGCAAAGGCTGAAGCAATGGAAAGACTGGAACACGGTATCCGAGGCCGATCCCACACAGCCGAATAACGAAGTGACGCGGTGGAGTGTACCGCTGTTGATGGTATCGCCGCCAGGAACCATTCGCGGCGATGTGTCTCCGCTGCTGCGCTCGTCGTGGGATCTCTCTTCGCGAGGCGCCTCGCCGATATCGCCGCCTGCAACCGCCCACTTTCCAGCCGGACACATGCCTTGAAGCATGCCCCCCCAAACGAAGACCGACACAGAAAAAACCATCTCTCAATCATACAAGCAAATACGACGCATGTAATGTATGCTGAGCTAGTAGAAGAATGTCCAGAAACGCCCGTTTCAAACCCGCGTTTTTCTCCCTACCGTTCTTCTGGACTTGGAAAAATAAACAATAAAAAACTAAAGCCCTCTTAAAGACCTAGAAAGCTAAAGGGAAATAAGAGAAATTCGTTGTATATTCGTAAACCGTTCGCCATCTACTTACGGATTATGGGAGGGAATTCAGCGGCGGTGCGTCTCCCCCCTTTCCCGCTAGGAGTCAGATTTCTTGACGTTGGAGCCTTTGAAATCGATGCCGCCCTTGACATCGCTCCTGCTGTTATTCCTGCTGAAGCCAAACTCATCACGGTCACCTGGTTCATCGAGCGGCGCATCAGCAAAAAGACGCTCGCGATCTTTCTTCTCTGCGACCGCCCCGATGGCGGCATTCGAGCCTTCCAGCTCGGCCACGAACTCTGGGTCGCCTGGAACTTCGACTGGGCCCATGTGGGCAGCTAGCTCGGATGCTCGTCTCTCGGCTTCCATCTCTTTGATGCTGGGTGGGCCGTATTCTTTGTTTGCGAGGCCGGCTTCGGTATCAGGCGTCGATGAGCCGAGCGAGGCTTTCCTCAGTCTGCGCTTTCGTCTGCGCCGTATAAAGAACCATGCTCCTAGGGCTATGGCCAGTAGCGCAAGGGCGACTCCGACACCGATTCCTGCACTTTCTGCCGGGCCGAAGCTATTCCTTGATGACCCCGATCCTTCTGAGTATCCCGATGTTCCCGATGTTCCCGATAATCCTGATGTTGGCAATGTTGTAGATGTCGATGATGGGACAGTACTGGCCAGGGATCCGGTCGCGATGGGTAGAGCTCCTGAGGCGGCTTGAGCAGAGTTTGTTTCTTTGGGTGGCGGTGGTCCTGGCTTCGGGTCATCATCGTCCTTGTCTCTCACCACATACAAGACACGGTGCGCGAAATTGGCCATGGCGGCAGAGATTATGGCTGTAAGATATGGACGGATCTGAGGGCAAGCTAATCCTGCAGATAGAGGATATATTAATGTATGAGATTACTATGTGCCGTCATGTGACGATCTTGCTGTTTGCATCAAGATTAGTAGCCAAGGGAGCCCCGACCTTTATCAACCTGTTTAAAAACAAGATCACCTTGGAGGTACCCCACTTCTGAACATTTATGGCGATCTCGCCTAGGGCGCGATGTACAGCCTGGTGAAGTGTACCCGGTAATCCTGGTGCGCAAGCATAGGCATTGGCGTAGCGTTCATCGCTCAATTGGACCCGGCACTTGTAGCGCGTCTTGTCCTGGACATAGCCACCCTTCTCCTCAGCAAGATTTCGAATCACTCCATCTTGGCGCCCGAGTGCTCAGCCAAAGTACCTGTGAGAGTGTGGTAGCATTCCGGAGTGGCTCCGAATGGGTGGCTAAAGAGCCTAGGATAGTACTGAGGGGTTACGCGGCGGCCGGGGCTTCGCGGCGAGATGGTAGAGAAGCCAAGAATGGGCAGCAACCAGCAGCGAGCAACCAGTCGTCAGAGATAGAGCATGGGGGGCGATGATGTTCCCATCTGAGTTGTCGGACCAGACTGCTGCTATTATCACGTAACCTGCCAGCGACAGGAAAGATAAGCCCGTGATGATCTTCTGCCGTTTGCGAGTGCGAGCATCGTGACAGACAACGGCTCGGCGTTATTTTGGCTGCTTGCGGAGAAGGCGGATCGGCCATGACGTCCAGATCAACGTTTGTCAAGTAATACTTGCACCAAGAGGCGCGTGTCAGCTTCACGGCAATCGGAGGTGCTAAAGCATGTAGTTGGTATATGGTACTTGCATGGAGTAGTCGGGAGGATTTGTAAGTAATCAGCGCGGAGCACCAGTTGGCAGTTGACAGATGGAAGAGGCCGGCTGACGGGACGCTTGCCCCGAATCTGGGGTTGGAAGGCGAGTAGAACCTGACCCTCCCGCTTTCGTCCTGAGGCTTTCTCCAGCCACACAAACACCCACCCACCCACACACACACACCTACCTCACATCTCATCTCGCTCTGCCCGCCAACGCCGTCGCTCTCTTGTTTCAACCATCGCCGAGATGCATGGCTGGCCCTGCAGTCGTCAGTCGCCAGTCGCGGTTGTTTCCAACGAACCGTCGACATGGGCAAGCTCTGGCGTACCGGAAACTATCACTTGCACTAACAAAAGAAACAATAAGCCGGTGCCCATAAGCGCCTCTTAATCCTGCGGCCGTCTCCGTGTCTCCGTGTCTCCGTGTCTCCGTGAAAGCTGGTGCGGCTGCCATCAAGCACAAACAAAACAGATGAACGTGTTCTGGAAATATATCCTGTTCTTGAGCAAGATGTCTTGTTTTCAAGCATATTTCGAAAATGACAACCAGCTCACCAGGCAGCTCATCTGATGATTGGTATCGTTATCCTACGACATCTTAATATAGATGCTGTTGAGCGCCGAAGGTTGGACGGATGCAGCTTTGCGAAACTTCATTTGTGCAACCCAGCCATCACTCGCCCAACAGACGGGCTTGCGGGCTTCTGGATTATGAGCCTACTGCTGGGTCGGTCATCTCAGGAGAATCTGGGGACAATTAACTTTCCCATGCCGCGCTTACATATAACTAGCCGTCCGAACCAGAGTTATACTCACATTCGAAACCTGCAGAGGTTATTCTCTAGTCACTTCCGCCATTACACAATTGGTCGTACATGCGAGTCATTGTTTTCGTCGTCGATCATTTTGGTTCAACACCGAGGACACTAAACCCTGGATGCCGCTATTGATGATAGGCGAACGACTTAGGAGTCCAGTTAGATGTCACGTCCACTACGTACGCACTGACCCAAAATAACACACCTCTGTACCTTTATGCCAAACGCCCCCCTGAGCCTGCACTGGCCTGGTCTCTTTGTAGGCACACTGATATCAGGGTAGGATCCGCCCTGACTATACCTATATTTCCGACCAGAGCCAGTTTGGAGCCATTACACAATGTCAAGTCCACTCGGTAATGACACTTCGCTCTTTGGTGGTTACAAGTTCGACCTCAGCCAGTTCAATTTCCAGGACACTTCATCCAACATACCCCTTGTCAGGATACCATGTACCATAATAATTGTCCTTGTACTCTTGACTGTTGCTTTACGCATAGTTGCACGACTCATATACATTCACAAAATATTCTTTGATGATGGTATGTATACGACATTTTTGTATTTATTCGCTAACGCAATCTAGTTCTCATCATATTTGCCGCGTTATTCACGGTAGCTCTGGCCGCGGCATGCATCGTATGTAAGTGAGGTCCCGTTGAAGTGGAGTAATAATTAGTAACGCCGCAACAGCAACTACTCACGGGCTTGGTCAACATATCTGGCTCCTTCCTCTACTGGACATCCTTGAGAAGTTGAAGCGTATTGTCTTGGTATGTGAGCCTTTCTCCTTGTGATTTGAGTACTTCATAAAGATATTATCTATGTGACTCGATGACATTAACAGGAAGTAGGATCTTTATATTTGCCAGATTTTATACGCCTGTGCGATCGCATTGACGAAACTCGCCATTATATCCTCCTATTTTCGTTTCGTCCCGGATCAAAAATTCCACACGTGCATGTACGTGACAATGTTTCCCGTTGTTGGCTTGTGGGTCACAGGTAAGGCGCATCAATCACCACTTCAAATTATCACCACTGACTCTTCTGCGCATAGGTGTCTTCGTTACCTTTTTTCAATGTATCCCATACTATGGAGCTTGGGAGTTTACGATCGAACGCAAGTGTATTGACTATGTCGCCTATTTGTACGCGAGTTCGGCCGTGAACGTAATCACTGATATTGCCCTTTGTGTACTTCCTTTGCCATACTTTTGGAGATTGGACATGTCACGAAAGCAACGCATCATCCTTTGTATGCTATTAGGAGGGGGTGCAAGGTATGCAATCCCATGATTCCAAGTTCAACATGTACTGAGTATGAGTAGTGCGTGCATAGTAGGAATGATTCGCATTGGCTTTCTGCACAATCTCCATGCTTTGGATATCACTTGTAAGAAGTCCTCTTTCATTACAAATATCATCTTGGCGTTTGCCAAAGCACCAATGATGTTTCTCGATGTCTTCACTTGAAAGATTCACATCAGCACATATCAAGAAACAGTTGATCAGACTGACAGCGAGAGAGAAGTGGCTGACTGAGGTCTGCAGATAAGAGCGTACCATGTCTCATATTGAGCGTGAGTGAGTGCAGTCTTGGAATTATATCCGTCAGCATCCCAGCTATCCGACCCTTAGCGCGACAACTCTTTCCTGCCGCAATGCGAGGTATCACTTCTCCATCATCGCGAGCCCGAACCCGCGAAATCCGCCTCTCTAGTGTACCCCCCTCCGGAAACAGAGTGCGAATGGATGCAGATGATAAGCAAAAGGTCTCAGTATCATACGGGTCGTCACGTTCATAAGGACCGTGCTCAGCATTGGAACACGGCTGGTTCATTATGCAGAAGGGCACAACTGAGGACCATACACAGCCTGGTTCAAAGTTCCAACAATTTTTAGGCAACAGTCTCTTTGTAGCTGGACGAGGATAGTATTTCGTAAATGCGAACAACATTGCCGTCCACAATCCAGTCTGCGACAGTTCAAATCTCGGCAATCCTGCTTCACAATGAGGATTGCTCGTGCGGAGGGCCCACACAACTCTTTTCCACCAAGGTTCATTGGTGACACACTAAGCATTTGCAGGAAATGCTACTATGTGTTCCCAGCTGAACTGCTAGTCTAGAAGCTTGGCAAAGCATGTTTTTAACACTCCGACATAGGATCGTTAACCTATTCAGCTGACACGCTAAGAAAGCCAAGCTGTAAGCCTAAATTTCATGGATTGCGGAGATCGCTCACCTTATCTCTGATTGGTCTGAATCCTATCAAGTTACAGACCGCTGGCCTAATATCATGTGTGTCGCGGTTGGCCTTAATGAGGCTGTGTTATTCAACGGCGATCACGAAACATCAGGCAGTGCAGAAGGGCTGTGTTGTAAAGGGTATGAACAAATCGGTTTGGGCAAAAGGGCCATGCGATTTGCATCTTGGGATGAGTAGTAGTATATAACAATGTGCGCCTTGGTATTTCCTTCTGCCAGTCCACCAGTCAGTCGGTGTTGAAGCCACCAACAGCATTGATACCAAGCACTTTAGTCAAGAATCCTTCTTACCATTAAATAAAGCACCTACCCGTGGGTGAAAACGCTCCTGCACCTCAATCTCTCATCGTCAAAGACCAACACCAATCAAAAAAAACGTTACCATATCAAAGATGAAATTGATACTATCAACCCTCCTCCTTGCCACCCTCGCAACAGCAACCCCCTCCTCCCCCTTCACTGGCGCATCAATCGAACAATGCAACGAAGCACTCATCGCCCGCGCCGCCCACGCCTACACAGACGCGCACTCGCACCTCGCCGCCCGTAGCAACAACAACGACAACAAGAAAAATGACAAAAGGGCTACAAAGCCCAAAAAGCCCAAAGGAGGACATTCAAACTCTGAAAATGACACCGAGACTGAGAGCGCGGCTATGGCGAGGTTCGTGCCATCGATGGGCGCGTTGCAGGTCGGCGTTGTGGGGTTCGGGGTGCTCGAGGTTGTGAGGCTGTGGGGGTGAAATGGGGCAGGATGGGGGATGGGGATGGGGATGGAAAAAATTGGGAGGCTGGGATGATGGCATCTTTTAGGGGGCGCGCCGTGGGGGGGAAAAGGATTTGTTTGTTTTATGCGAAAATGGGTTGTGGTATGATGGATGTGAATGGTGTTGGTTTTTTTGTTCTAGCTTATGCTCATTATTGTAGATGAATTGGTGGCGATGGTTGCTGATCATGGAGTGTTTTCATGATACCCCCCCCCCCCGTGTTTTGGTGGATTTTTGTTACGTAGCTTTGCACGATAACTAGCGGTGTAATGTATTTCGTTTCTGCGATCATGCTGCTTGACGGTGATGGAGATGTCAGTGAGCTGGGCATATGGTTCACGTTATGTTAAAGCTATAGGTTTCTCATCCTGAGTGGCAGATTACGCAGTGATTGTGCTTTGCTTCATCCCAAGCTGACCTGGTGTTTGTGAAGAGATTTTCCGGTACCGAGATGGCTGAGCCTCATCGTGTGGCGGTGCATAGCCATGCTGTGGTGGCTGTTCAACTGGCGAAACGGGAAGGAGGCTGAGGCAGGAGGTGGCGCTTCCAAAGTCGTGATGTACCATTAGGCTCTTATGATACGATTACCTGTTGGCTATCGAATGTTTTCTCCTGAAGATTTAAAGCCCTTTGTCAGTCCAACACTTGTGTAGTATGGCATAACACTAATAACTTTTCACTCTTGTAGGCACATGATTGAGGCAAGGTGAAGAACATGCTGTGAAAACTTTCAGAACATTAACATTGGTATCGGTTCGACGAAGTTAAGAAACAGAATAACAGACGCCATGCAATGCAATCGTACACCCCCTAACGCTGCGCCATGCGGTCCTCGATAAACGCTCCCAAAAAGCACTTTTGTTATTCAAGCCCAACATTTAGAATATACAAAGACATCAGAAATTAAAGAAACTTGTTCACAATCTTCTTCCAGCCGCTGGCAGAGGACTCTTCCCAGGTCTCGGAGATCTCGTCCTCAAACTTTCCAGTGTGGATGTCGGCGTCCGCGGGGTTGATGAATTTACTTCGGGTAACGATCTTGTGTCCGACGTAAAGGACAGTGAAAAGGATCAAACTGATGTATGCAATGAAGAAATCCTCAGTACTCCAAGGAACGAATGCGGTGAAACCTTGGGTGATGGTGATGATGGCACAGAAGGTAACACCGTAGATGGCGAGAGGGCGTCCTCCCCAAGACTTGAATGGAAGGGTGTCGCGGTCGATGTTCTGGGCCTTGAGCGCACGCATGAAGGCGATGTGGCAGATCAAGACACATGTCCAGGCAATGAAACCAGCAACGGAGACAATGTTCAGGAGCCAGTTGAAGGCTTGCTCGCCGTTGGAGCTGAGGTTCATGTAGGCTAGCAGACCCATGGCGGCGGTTACGGAGGTTGCCCAGTATGGAACTCCACGCTTGCTGGCGGCCTTGAGGAAAGCAGGGGCGCACTTTTCCTCTGCAAGTCCTACGAGAATGCGGCTTCCAGAGTAAACGTTGGAGCTAGCGGCAGAAAGAACAACAGTGAGCAAGACGGCATTAAAGATGTCGGGAAGAGCAGATACACCGGCGAGCTGGAAGGCGATGACCATTGGTGAGGATCCAGCATTAGTGTCGCCAATTTGGAGGGCTTCATTGTCATAGGGAATCAAGATACCGACAAAGAAGATGGTGAAAACGAAGAGGATGAAGATGCTCCAGAAAGTCTTGCGAATGGCCTTGGGCATAGTCACACGTGGGTTGGCGGACTCGCCCGCACCAATAGCGCAGAGCTCGGTACCCTGGTAGGCAAAACCAGCTTGGATCAGAACGGCCCAGAAACCAACAAACTTTGCAACAGGTCCCTCAGCAATGTACGGGGCGAAAGCGCCAGGTGAGTTCCAGTACTTGAAGCCAATGTAACCCTGGGCGCCAACACCAGCGTTCATGCAGATGGCGTAAATCCAGAATCCAACGAGGGCGACGACTTTAATCAGGGCAAACCAAAACTCGAACTCTCCGAAGATGTCGACTGGCAAGAAGTTCACAGCGGTGATGGGAACCCAGAAGATTGTGATGAAGATGCCGATGCTGAGGTCAGAGTTCCACCATTGGATGATGAGGCCGGCAGCTGTGAGCTCGAGCGCATAGGTGATTGACCAAGAAAACCAGTAGATCCATCCCATGGAGAAGCCGAGCGAGGGATCAACGAATCGAGCAGCGTACTGAGTGAATGCACCGGAGATGGGTAGGTAAGTAGCCATCTCAGCCAAGCTGAGCATGACAGAGTAGACCAGGGTACCGACGAAGACATAAGCCAAGAGTGCTCCAGCAGGGCCAGCAGTTGCAATTGAGCCTCCGCTGGCGATGAAGACACCAGTTCCTACCGTTCCACCGATAGCGACGAACTGCAAGTGTCGGGAGGACAGCTTGCGCTGCAACTCCTCCTTGGGCGGGGCAGCCTGCTTCTCGACATCGCTTCCTGAGTGAGAAAGCGATTTCTCTGAACGCTGGTCCATCTTGGGCGTAATTTGATCAGCAGCGGATGCCATGATGTTGTTGATGCGTCAGCGGTGGACCCGGCGCTTGGGCTTGACGATGGAAAGACAACAACGAAAGAATTGCAGTGTGTTCGATCAAGATGAAGCGCAAAGAAGCCAGGACCAAGGACAATATATCAATCAAAATTGACGACCCCAACAGTGGAGTCATCGTCGAACACTCCAATGACCCATCTCGTTAGCCGTCGGCATACTCCACGCTCTGGAAAACCCGTCGACTGTCCAAATTTTCATCCTAGGTCCACATGGAGGGGGGCGACTTGGTTGCATTTGCGCGCAGGCTGAACCGTGACAGTAGCATGATCGAAATTTTCGAGACGGCTACGAGCGGGTCTGCGGCTCCTAATTTGTATTCGGCTTGCACGCGAACGTACAAGTGCGTTGCTTATCTACGGGATTAACGACGGAAATGTAGCCCGCCCAGGTCCCGACGGTTTCTAGCTGGAAAAATCTGCAGTTTAGCTGTGTCAACGTCGGGGAATGCGGTGGCGGCTGAATGCCTTTGGGTTTAGCGTGAGGGCCGGGCCTTTGTCGGATGAGGGCCTTGGCGTTGCGCGAATCAGATGCTACTCTATTCCAGCATGATGTTGACTCTATCACGACATTTCAGGGGATATGTTTTCAATCGATTTGACTCACTATCACTGTTGGAAGCCTGGTGAGAATCCTTTCCTCGCACAAAATTTTCATGCAACATCCCACGGCCACTTCCGATAGTACAACGTTGAGCTTGTCATGTGATGTAGTCTCTTGCCTTTGAGCCACGTGCAAATTGGCGACGACGAATTTGACTAGGGGACACGGCATGTCCGAGCATCTGAAAACAAAGAGGATCCATTATGAGGGCCTTTCTAAGACGATCAAATTTGAAAAGATGCGAACCGTAAAGGTGTTTGAGGAATCATTACCTGACCGCATTCCTCCTACGGCATCAGTATCTAAAGTATGCGTTGATGATAGAGACCATATGTAGCCTCCTTTTTCTCAAAACCTGGAGAAAACATTAGCTACTAGTCACAAATTGGTCGTAGTGTAAACTAGTCCCCAGATTGTACGAACTCATCTGCCCCAGAAAGTGTAGTGCGGCTGGTGCACTGAAACTGATTCGCAGCCGAAAACTCGCCGCACCGGCCCAACACGTCGGTGCTCAATCTGGGGAGCACTTGGTATCTGCATGCATTCTGGAGAAATCTGGGGGTTGTGCATTAGTTCTGCTAACTAAATTGCTTGTGTCCTCGCCTCGAACATGTCCCTGTTGCCACCATCTCTTCTCAATATAGAACATTGTGATAGATACTAACCAATCATATGAGCATACAAATGGATTTTCTGATTGCTGATATATGGCTATGTCTATAGTACACGCAGCGATTTACCAACCGACATTTGGCACAGCTCATTGGTTTACCAGGCAAACATCCCACAGCCTACTTAATGAGATGTTGACCGGAAAAGGCTATTTGATAGAGATATTGACATCATGATATTCTTGCTGAGATATTTCATCAAGTCAAAATGCGTCCAGTACGTGTGATTAGGGTAATATAGCGTTACGGAGCACACGTCAGACGAGTCAAGAACATGGACTGTAGGTTTCACTTGGAGCCAACGGTTGTGATTGGGAGAAATTATGAATGTCCAAGACAGAAGTTGACATACCTCAATTAGTGATCCCTACGTTTACAGGGAACGTCTGGCGAATCACGTATGGTCAGGACTGGAATTTGTCGAGTTGAAGCTCACCCACTATCAATTGATTACGCGCGCTAAATGAAAGATCTCAATTTCATGTCTTTTGGGGGAAAGTGTCCTTCGGACAAGATATGGATATTAGGAAGGTACCCGTTTGAGAGGCCACAATGCCTATTTGTATGCTGTTTTCGTTAGCCCCCTTCCAGTGAGCGTTGAATGAAGATTAGATCCAATCGTCAAATGTAATTGACACAAAGTGATACTACCAGTTGTTGTTCATAGCTCTATCAAACAGTGTGCTCAGTGTGTTGGGCTTGGGGCAAGGGACCGACGCTATCAGTGTGGTCAAAAGAAGTGGCACCGATGTTTGCCTGGTGGAAAGTAAGCTGGGAGATCTATAAGCATTATTAAGGTGGAGTACTCTAATAGCTGAATATCTACAAACGTTGGAATCAGCAAAGGCACGGATGGGTTTGTTGTAGGTTCATCCATATCCTCGACGTATGAGCTCACCGTGATGATGGTTAGGAGGTGCTCCATTGTGCCTATTACATAATTCGCCAACGGCTGTCGTGTCAGACCACATGTACCTCCCACCCCGCACAGCTTCGTCCGAAAAGTTTTACGAGCATCCTTGTTTTTGATGGCAACTGAAATCGGATGATGGCGGAAATCAATGGATACTGCTGATGTGAGTGTATGTAATGGCCAGGGACTCTTTGGCCACGCGACCCCTTCCACCAAATGATCTGTTGGAAGACGATCGTAATAGGGGCGATACGTAGTTATTGATGACGAGGCTTGCTCAATTTGCCCTTGGTGCAGCACAGCTTGGGTATGGCCTTCTTTGACAATGATGCAGGAGCACAATTGGCCAAGCACTCTCAAGTTTCCACGTCGCAAAGCCTCCACCATGCCAATTGCCTCCACCTCCAGATCGTCCGCTCCAAGTTTCCTTAGGCCGTGCGCCACCACAAGGTATGATCCTATCCTCGCGTAGACGGTGGCGCGAGGAATCTCATGACTTGCCCTGGGCTACTTCTGTGGCGTAAGCGCCCACGATAAAAAGGCTGTTAAGTTGCTCAATTGACAGCAACGATTGGCCAAGGTGAATATAATGATGAAATTGTTGAGATCCTGCTGCGCTATCCAGGAACAAGAATGAGGCGTGACGTAGATAGGTGCAAGCGAGCAAGGGCTGTCAGACTGCAAAGGGAATAGCGTGGTAGACAGGTGGGGCGCAACGTCCGGCTGGGCATGCAACGCTCCGTTCCCTCCTCCTTTTGCACAGCGGCCCCTGAGACGGCCCTATTCATGCTGACCACATCCTAGAATGTATCTTGGGACATTCGAAGCGAAACAACAATCACAATTGATGGCATACAGTCCCAGGTTACACAGCATCAAGGCAATCGCGCTTCACACCATCCACAAGTTCAGTGACGCTTGCAAGTACCTATAAGACCTCATCCTTGCTATACCGCTCGGCTACCGAATCACCACCAGGGTTTACTGATTCTCTGCATGTTGTTTGAAGGCCAGCTCTTAGATCCCATTCGTCAATGGGCCGTAGCTCCTCTAGCTCCACGTTTCCCATCATGTTCTGGATGCACCCCTATCACCGCCACTTGCATGGTTCAATGAGGTGTCGACAGTGCTAGACAGCACTACTTTCGCCACTTTTCACCGTTGTCAACGACCATCTCCCGAAGATCTACCAACTGCTAAAGAAAGAAAATTTACGCTCATTTGACCGTATGATGTAGGCTAATTCTGGGTCTCGCGTCCACATGCTTGACCTTTGGGTTCACAAAGGGGGTGATCACGATACGATTCCACATTCCATGTCGCATTGATGCATTCACTAGATATACAGCCGTGTTTTCCGTGAACATGGGGTTCGAACAATGCTTTTTGTACAGGTTTGACTTGGTCAAGTTGCCGGAGATGAGTACTATGCGACCTTGTAGGCCATGTACTTAGCCGATTCTCGGCTCCATCGACGTCACCAAGACCACAGCCACAGTATCTAGATGGTATCCTACTGTCCTATGAGAGGGCATTGAGAATACCATAGTTCCTGTGCATGGCTGGCAATACGGTCATACATGGCGTACGCATACACTGTGGCAAGTCTACGCGCCGGCGCGCAGCCAAAAGATGCTTAATGTGTAAAGAATGCCGTGCTAAATGTCATATCCATACCGTTTACAGCTAAACGTCCGGCATAGATTTACATTTTGTGGCTGTTCACTTTCTAAATGCAAGGGGCATTTTAACCGGCACGTTTCGAGATCAACAGCCCCAACGGAGTCTCCGCGCTCGGTAGCAACCAGTCAAGACGATCCGCCAGGTACAAGAGTGCTAGGATGATTTGAGATCGACGTCACTCCTTACTAGGGTCAGACATGACACGTCTAAGTTAGGAGTAAACAGGTCGATCTGTACTTTTATCGTCGACTGATTATGGACGTGCGTTCCCCGTTTCTCCCCTGGCCGATGACGATCGTCTTCCGTGAAGTGGCAATGTCTAATGACGATGAACGCTGCGAGTAAGAGTTGCGTGTACCTTGGAACAGACCCTGAAAATGAATACACGTATCAACCAGTAGTCAAAAGAAGAGGTATAAAGAGAGCACGCAAGCCCTCGACAAAAATTCATCATCACATTCAACTCCACACATTCACAAACAAACTACAACTTTCACTCTTCCAACCAACCAATCACACCTTCTTTATCTTAAAAGATATACCAGCTTTTTTCCACTATCAAAATGCAGTTCTCCATCACCACCATCCTCGCCTTCGCCGCCACCGCCGCCTTCGCTGCCCCCCTCGAAGAGCGCCAGGTCGGCCTCTGCTCCTCGGGCAACCCCGTCTGCTGCGCAACTGATGTCCTGGACCTCGCTGACTTGGACTGCGCTGCTCGTATGATTTTACCCCTTCCTTCCGTCCAAAAAATTGCAACTAACGTCTCACACAGCTTCCATCACCCCCACCAGCACCGACGAGTTCATCAATACCTGCGCTTCAGCGGGCCAGCAGGCCAAGTGCTGCCTGATCCCCATCCTTGGCCAGGCGCTTATCTGCTCGGATGTCAACCCTACTGCTCCTGCTCCTTCTGCTGCCTAAGCTCGGAGTTTTCTCAGAACCCCCGTGTAATTTATAGTTCCCGATTGCGGTATTTTGTCGGGTAGTTTTTGGGAGGTGTATAATATTTTTGTTTTGGATTATTCTCGAGAGATTACAGTGCTAGCAGCGAGTCTTTAATTGAAGCTTCACATGGATGGTTTGATGCTTCTGCTTGGCATGTGATGTGCTGGGTGACTTGCTGATGTGCCTAATGACATTGTGTAGAGCACAGTGTGAAGTATGTTGTGACATATCCTTTTCACTTTGCGAGGACGAATCAATCCAGGAACTTTGCTGACACATCTAAATATGAAAATGAATTCATCCTTATTACCCTGTGAGAAACACTGAGCATCATTGATCATGAAGCAGATTCCAGATTACTATATGAAAATACAAGACTAAGGGGGGTATCGTCCAAGCAGCGTAACAAAACAAGAAGAGCAGTAACAAGCAGTGAAGAGCACTAAAAGTCAATAAGAGCAAAATGCGCTGAATGAAAAAAAAACACCTCCAAACAAAAACATGTCCAAGGATCATAGACCAAGAACACCTTAAACCTGAACATCCGGATAATCAGCATCCAACAACAACCACTCCACACTCCCCTGCTTCCACGCATTGATAAGCGGCCTAAATTTCTCTTGCCCATAATACCCACAAAGCGCATCCCAAACCTTTTTATCCTCAACCACCGCATCGCGGAAAAAAACACAAGCATGATACCAATTATCCCGCGCATCCCAAACACACAACTCATCGCATCGCTCCGTGAAATCCGCCGCTTGCACCATCAGCGACATGACCTCGCCAAACAGCGGCGACATGCCCAAGTCGTCCTCGCACGGCTTGTCGCAGTTGAGCGCCTGAAGGCGGAGAATGGCGGAGGCGCGCTTGAAGTCGAGGGCTACGGCCTCGAAGTGCGACTTTATGTATTCTGAGGTAAGGTCTTTGGTGCGAGGCTCGGGGAGCGCGAGACGGCCCATGGTGGAGTGGGACCAGATTTTTAGGGCTGCGGCGCTGGGGCTGAGGAAGGAGAAGGAGGACCAGGTTAGTACGGTGAGTTCGGGGGTGGGTTTGTTGGACCACTTTGGGTCGTTGAAGTCGATGAGGTTAGGGTTCAGTGTGGTGGGTTTGGATGGCTCGGCAGGTTGCTTCTGAGGCGATTGAGTGGGTCGTGATGACCTTGGTCGTGGTGGTTTGGACGTCCTGTTGCTCCTCCGGTAGGAGGGGTTTACAGGAGTTGATGGTAGGGTATATGTGAAACTGAGTGGAGCGGGGCTAGGCGGTGTTGGAGACTGTTCCCTCTGTGGAGTTTGTACGGTCTCTCGAGCTAGAGTCGCGGGTGCTGCATCGCCTGGGGGCAAGGTGGAGGGTGGTTTTGGTGCCAGATCGGACTTATGGCTAGGTTTCTGATACGAGAATTTTGCAGGTACCTGTGACATTGTGTACGTGAAAGTAGCCGGGGTAGGATCTGGCTGTGGAGCAGGCTGCTCTTCTTGTGGTTGTGGTGGTTCGTCGAATGAAGGGACTTGAGCCACTCTCGTTTGCTCCTGTAACTGAGGCTTGGCCTCAGTTACAGTCATAACAGGCTCAGAGAAGGGCTCAGGCACAGGCTCATGAATGGGTTCAGGAACAAAAGGCGGCACGAACAAGAACTCGCTAAGCATATCTTCCAAACCAAACCAGATCGCAAGATTGCGATACCTCCTGATAAACTCAGGCACCCTGCTGTCTGGGTGATGAAGAAAGTCCCAGCCGTATGGTGAGAGGGTGTCCCAGAAATCGATGATTGATTTTCCCCACACGAGATAACCTGTGGGGATACCACTCAACCCATTTGGAAAAAGTGGTTCCAGATACTCCTTCGCTTCGCACAGAAGGTCCAGTATCAGGGAGGCCGAGAGCTCGTATCCCGAGCCAGTGGGGATCATGTCGAGAAATACGACCATCTGTTCCTGAATCTTATACTCCTCTTGAGCAACCTGATTCAGGGCATTTAACCGTATCATTTTGGGGCTCAAGGCCTCGGGGAGACGTTGGATCTGGAGAGGAGTTTGTGGAGGAATTTCTGATGGAGCCTTGGTACTCGCCATTTCCGGAAGTGAAGACAGCCTGTTTTCCTTGAGTGGGGGCGAAAAAGTGTCGGAACATAGTTGAGATTCCTCAACCTCCTCATGTAGAGGTTCAGCAGATTCTTGCGTCCCGGCAAGAACTGCTTTGATTGTGCCAGTAGGCGCAGCGTCTTCCGCGACCGCCGGAATGCCTTCGTCTGGTCTTTGCACATCCTCGATCGTTTCCAAAAAATTACTGCTCTTATAAAAAACTGGAGGGATGTATCTTGGGCGTTCAATGTGAAAGTTTTGGCGCGACGGTGCGAATGAATCGCCGGTCCCACGGAAGTGCTCGAAAGGAAAGTCGTATGGCGGAGGGTAAATCGCAGGAATTAATGGGGCCAGGCGAGGTGGTGACGGTGTGACAGGACACATCCAAGGGGAGGTATGGGCGACTGGTGTTTCTGCTTTAACTGATTGTCTTTTAGTGCCAACGTCTTCGTGATGCTATTATTCACGGTTGAACGAACCATCTTGCCATTCATCCATTTTGACGAGAACAAACGCAGCAAGGGCAATGATGGCACCCATAAAGATGAGATTGGCAATCATTGGGGCAATGAAACCCTCCAAAAAAAGGTCGTAGATCTCATCGTACACCTCCCAGTACAGGAAGTCCCCGACGTCTGTATAGAAGTTGTAGATCTGAGAGACGAGAGCCCCCATTTAATCGGTGACTTGTGGAGTTTTTTAAGGTTTTTTAAGGATTTTGGATAGTAGTTATATAAGAAAAGAAGAGAGTGTGTTGAGGTGTCGTAACTCAGGATTGCTATAGTTGAAGGAGAGGTGGTGCCTGACGGTGGGATTAAGAGCAAGATCTCTAAATTGAAAGTGAAAGGTCTGTGCAGAATCATTCTTCATCACCGCAACAGCTTTGCCATTGTTGTGTGGGAGTGAAAGTGAAATGAACAAGTAGAAAGCTTGGCATGATGTCCGCCACGCGTGTGGAGCAGTGAATCGACTAAGGACTAATACTACACTGGCTTGACAGTGAACCGCAATGATTGAACTGGTGTTCAAATGGCAATGATATTTGGGAGAAGATATGATCAAGTCAGGCGTGAAGCAAATCGGTTCGGAAGGACCAGAGCATACTTGAATTCTCTGCGATAAAATCTTACAGTGGGCTGTCGAAGGCGTCCAATTGTTTAGAGCTACAAGCAATGCTTACATTCTCAGCTTCTTCCAATGTGCAAATCCAATGCTTTTGCTAGCACATATAGCATCTCGAGCCTCACACACATGACTCCTTTGTTTTTGCCCATCCTGACCAGATTACCTACTATGGCTTCCACTTCTATCCTCCGGCCGGCTTGCACGTCTTGTAGCATACTTGGCTCAATGCCCGCATTGTTTGGGATCCTGGCTTGCGCCCGCCCGAGCTGGACATCGAGTTGCTCTCGTGTGATGTCATGGCCATGTGCGGCTGCGATATCTCGGATCTCCAGCATGACGGCCCGCAGCACTTCAGTAGCTTCCTCTGAAGCTGTCAGAACCTCGGTATCTTTGCTCAATGTAAGGGCGCATATCGGGTTCCAGGAAGCGTTGACCAAAAGTTTGTACCAGCGCTTGGCTTGAACATCATCATAGAGCTTCGCAGTACCACCGGCAGATGTTACAAGTCCTGCGAAGGCTTTGGCGTGAGAGTTGGATGAAGAAGACGGATAGGCTCCCAGCTCAAGCAGCTCCACTTCGCCATGTCTGATGACACCTGCTGGTCTTTGGGTCACGGGAAGATAGACAACGGTGCTGATGATGGGGTTATTTGGGTAGGCCTGCAGGAACTCTTCTTCAATGCCGATTCCATTCTGTATAAGGACAATAGCCGTGTGCCCAGGCGTCACAGCAGGGGCTATCGGCCTGGGCACCGTACCTGGGAAGGCTTTGCTGCAGACAACAATGTAGTCGTAGGGCTCTGGCGAATGAGATGATGCTTCGCCACAATCGCGGACGACGTTTGGCTTGAAATGGATGTCGTTGCCGAAAATGGACGAGTTGATGATGAAACCATGTTCCTTAACAGCATCGTAGTTGGAGCGGCAGACAGCGGTTGTGTGGGCTACTTTGCTCAGTAGATACAGGTAGATAGCCCCGACGCTACCGGCCCCGAAGAGCAGGACCCGTGGCTGGCCTCCGGATGACATGATGGGACGCTGGCGATGGTTGGCGAGCGTATGTAAGGCAAGTATGCACAGGCTCGCTCTCAGTGGTCAGAGCTGGCGAGGTTGAAATGCGAGTGCCGTCGTCGTCCCCGCATGGCTATTGCCGAACAACTCTGCACTCCCCCCGTATCTCCATCTCCCTGGCATTCAACAATGCACGAGTACTCCATCTGTCGCAGGCCATCAATGCTTGGCCCAGCAAACTTTCGACTTGGAATATGAGTAAGTAATTCAACACCGTCTGCATACATGGGCACATGCCAAAGCTGTATTGTCATCCGGCTCCAGCTTGACCGCCGCCTATGTACTATCGCTTCAGCTGACAACTCGAGCTTCAGCCACACCCACAGTAGCGAGATCCTCGCTTCTTGATAGATATAAACTCCAACCATGGCCCCATGCATCCAAGAAACTCTCCGCCTAATCCATCGAAAGTCACTCGAAGCAAAAAAGCAGAAGTGAATTCACAGCCGCAAAGTGGGACGCCCGAGGTGGGTCGGTCACCCTCATGCAATCTAGCAGGCCGCTGTTAATTAGTGGAAACAGCCTCACACCCTGAACGCCAAGCGAGCAACAGAAATTAGGCCCCCAGCCTACACCGGATACAGTCTTGCATATGCTGGGCACCTCTGCAGCCCCCAAGTCGTACACAACGCGAGTGGTGCCAGAGCCGACAGGCCAAATCGTGTCTTAACAGCGGCGGTTCGGTCCGGTTTCGTTCGCGCTCTCGACATTGCAGCACCGCCCTTCCTGAGAGCCCCTCCCTCATCCTCTCGAGAATGAAGTACCTCACGTCTCTGGTCCTGTACGCTACCCATGTTTTCGCCGCCAGTCAACTAGCCCTCTTCACGGACGAGCACTGCTAAAATTCGCTGCGAGGCCTCGAAGGTCCCAATGGCTATCCCAATGGCACGTGTACCGATCTGCGACGCACTGGGCCATACGGCAGTTTTCAGGTTGTAGGCCTGGACCCAGGCTGCACTGGTGAGTTGAAGCCACTGATCGTGAACCGGGAAACGCGCGTACTGATACAAAGGCAATTTAGTCACCATCTACCAAAAGGATACCACCGAGAACATCTGTTCAGGCTACCAAGAAGTGATCCAGCCAATCGATTGCTACAACTCTTCCTTCGTATACTACAGTATCGACTTTTGTGATATCGTCAGCACCCAGTCGCCTACTCCATCTCCCATTGCGCCACGTCCGCCATCTTCGAATTCCTCGGGCATTTCCACAGGCGCAGCTGTTGGAGCTACACTTGGTGGGGTCGCCGGTCTCGCAATCATAATCGGACTGATTGCATTTTTCATCTTGAAGAAGCGAAGAAAGGCACGGAGAACTCCAGAAGTCGCAGAGTGTTCAACTTCAATGCCGTGCGAGGTACACGCGAAGCACCTCCATGAGATGGGACCAGGTGCAGTCGTGTACAAGAGAGATGCGGCGGTGGAAGTTGAGCAGCCAGCTGCTGAGCTCGAGGGCAGAGAACTGGGGCCTGATGAAGGGTCGAGGACTTCACGCTCATGAGATGCTGATCAATGCACGAGTTTGAGTAGATTTGGACTACTGCCAATGGCTACTTCAACTGGAACAGTGTACTTTTGGAATACTGCTATAGTCTTGTGCTTGGTTCGCATGGACCGGAATTGACCAAAACCAACACGGTTTTAACAACAGATACAGAAATTCTGAGGTGGCCATATTGAGCAGCAGCGAAGCGCTATAATGTAATCACGACCCACAGACGGACGCCCTTGCAGCCCTGCAGAAAGAGCCACAAACGCAAGTCGACAAGAGGGACAACCATAGTCTATCATTGACATCGACGAAATTCCAGCAGCATTTTGCAGCGTTGGGATTGCGAGATGTTGGTTCCAACGACGTTCACCGAGTCATGGCCCCAAGAAACCCTTACAGGCCAAGAAACCCTCGGCATGTTACCCAAGCCGGGTGTTCAGGGACAAGAGAAAGGCGCAGCACAAGTGGGATGAGCCAAGGGTCTTGGAGTGATATGACTTTGCAAAGTACATATGCATGCATGATACGAAGCTAATGATATTTTCTGGCATTTTATCAATTGCCAGATATGCTACTTATCGCTTGCCAGACGTGTTCATATTGTTGGAAGACACGGCTCAGTATATGAGAGCGGGAAGGCACTTGGTACTAAACCAGATTTAGTGTAATTGTTGTAGGGATGAGCAGGTTCTTTGGAACCTTAAATGATTGCCTTTCTTTACACACACCTTTTGCTTTGACGATGACCAAGTGCCCAACTACCAGTTCCACAAATACCCTGGTGTGCCAACGCCCATGGTGCGGAAGGAATACTTAGAGGCACGGCAGAGAGCTTTCGTTTAGCATTGGTGTCTTCTATTGCAAGTGCGCTTGGAAGTTGTGAATACTTAGTCTTCGCTGGATAATACGCCACATTGCGCATGTCATCAACCGTGTCAAAACTCGCCTATCTACTAAGAACAAGGATCTCTGCGCATGTCATGATCTCGGTCTTTCTCTGTCATGTCATTGGTGATGTAGACAAGGTGTAAGGAGAATCCCGCATAGTCTTAGCCATGTGATTCGTTTCTTTTTCTTTCAACAGTGATAGCGGATAATGCACCCGGTGTCTTCGACTCATGGCACAATTTTCGGCACGAGGGCTTACTCGAATATGTTGGTTTTGCGCTTTGGGCAACCTGTCGAGTCAATCTGGGTATTGGTAAAGATGTCTGCTTGTAGATCAGGGTCCTCCGTAACACACACCGGCACGCTGTCTTCAAAGATCAAGGCATCTCAAAGATCGTCATTTTTATCTCAGTGAGAAGCTTAGAGAGAGTGCTATGTGTCAACAATCAATCACTAATGACCGCTGTTTGCAAACCAAGATGACAGTCCGTTCTGTGCAGAATAGAACACCTTCGGAAACCTTCTCAACATTATTGTCTTTATCTTTTTTTTCTTTCCATTGTAGTGTTCATGTAGAGACATTATGCGAACACAAAAAAAAGCAACAATCCGATCTTTAGTCTGTGAAATGTCACAGTGACGTTCAACTCATTGGTGTCTCTTGCTATAATACATTATATTCTATCAACACCATTTACAAAATCGATGTGCCAAGCAGTCGATGTAGTAGATGGGGTTTGGCTGTTCTTGGACTACTCTCCCGGTCTCAATACCTAGATGAGGTAGCTCACCGCATGATAGTCATTCTTTACTAAGCCTATGTCGACTTTACGATAAAGTAATTCGTAAATCAGACTTACTAACACGAATTACTAGATAGCAATTACTAAGTAGACTGCCCCCATTGTTCAATGCCTATCCTTTTCTTGCCCTATGCGGCATGTTCGGTCTCGGCCAATAACCATTACTACTTTTAGTCCCATTTTCCAGTAATCACCGTCTTCGACAGCCTTTTTCTCTCCTGCCCAAACCAGTAGGTTGAGTAAGCCAATCACCACACACATTTTGATTTCCGACCTGCTAAGACAGCCATCGATGGATTTTCGAGACTACCCAATCGGGTGCGCTGAGCTTTGGCCACCGCTACTAGCAATCTCGAAAGTTTTGGGATTGGGCGCAACGCCGCACTGATATCACATTCCACTCTCGCCGTGTGTGTGTGCATGCGTTTCCTTTCTTGTTTGTTCTCAATTTTTGCACTGCGATTCGTCTTCATTCTTCCCTAGTCGATGTCTGCGTGCTCGCGCACAGTCAGAGCCGTATCACGCTCTCGCGTCCCGCCACTGAAAACACTTTTGCCATTCCTGTACCAAACAACAACCATCCAGCAATGTCAATCCACCACACGACCAATTGTGCGCCGCACCATTGCCTCACGATCACGTCCGGAAAATGGAGATGATATTCCTTTCGTGGACGAAAACCTACCGCCTCCCGTCGACAACGAACCTGGACGAAAGACAACTATAACAAGTACTGAGCGTGCAGCATTCGAGAAACTGTACAGAAAGTTCAACACTGAGGGACGGCAACAAAAGGAAAAGGATCATGTCGTGGAGCTAGACCAGATAGCGGACGAGTACTATGAAGATGATGAAGAGAACTCGAAGCCATCTTTGGACCAGATTTTTGATGAGGCTATGAAAGGCGAATCGCGACTCCGGTCGATACGTACGCTTGCCCAGCGACAAAGAGCGGGTGCTCAGTCAGGGAAGGATGGCTCGCCTACAAACCAAACTGGAAAAGAATTGGACAATTCACCAAGGAGCAGGAGGAAGGGCTTGGGCTTTGATACCGCACAGCTCAGAGAGATGCGTCTAGCAGAGCGAGAGAGAGTTGACAAACTCATCCGCAACGCATCCACCGACCGCGAGCTCTGGCAAATTCTTGAACGCGAAGTCTTCGCCAAAGTGCGTGCACTGGATCTCGACAACACCAATGTTGGAGACAGTAGAGCGCCAGCCTCAGAGTCCAACAGTAGAGCGGGGACGAAGGGTACCACACGGCCCCGCACTGTCACTAAACCCGATCCACCTTCTCCCGAACAGCGTATCCTGTTCCAAAACTACCCCCACCATCTTATAACCGCCGTCGCCACTCTCCGCTCAGAGTTCCCTTCCTCACTACTTCCTCTGTCCATTTTACCCACAATCAAGAGTCTCGGTCGCTCTTCCCACGTCCTCGGTGCTACAACAACTCTTTACAAGCACCTGATACGCACAGCATGGATACAGCAATCCTCTTTCACTACCATCGACACTCTACTCACCGAAATGGATAACACCGCCATCGAGTTCGACGCTGATATCCTTGCCCTGCTCGACGCCATTCTCAAAGAAAGCAATCAGGCGAGAAGCGGTATCTTTGGGCGAGAGCTACAGTCGGTGTACAGCATGGAGCTGTTCGTTGACGAGATGAGCAAGATTGTGAAATGGAGAAGGACTGTGGCGGAGAGGTTGGGACTGAAGAGTGAAGATGCTAGATTGAATGATAGAATTGTAAGGAAGATTCCGCAGCAAGGAGGGTCTGCGAGGGTTGCTAAATCGTACGAAAGCTGGAAGGGTTCTCAGATGGAGAAGCAGGATGATGCAATCGGGGCAGTAGAGGGCGATTCAGCAATGGATGATGGCGGCAAGGACAATGGTGTGTCTACCGAGGCAGCTGAAACCTCTAGCACTGCTGTAGACCAGACTAATGGGGCGGTTCCGGCTACAGGGGGAGACGCAACAGCAAGCGTTGACGGGGAGGAAAAGAGCGCTGTCGCTGCTGAAGAACCCGTTGAGCAAAACCGCCCCTCCCAGAATGACGACACACCCAGTGAACCCACCAAAATCATTTTGTAGATACATCATGTACCATAGTGTAAAACCATACCAGCAAATCACCATCACCATCACAATTCAATTCAAGCTCACCCAGCTTCAACCGTAAAAAAACACATTCATTAAAAAGATAATAGAGAGACTCCATCGCCCCGCCCCGCCCCCTGAACACCAACCTCGCATTCATATTCATGTTCATATTCATACATCCCAATCTAGCTCCCTCATTACCACTACTTACAAACTCTCCCACCCCCCATTATTCACATCACCCTCCAATCTCCTCGCAATCAGGCTCTGCACACCACCCTCAAGCCAGACCTTCCTAAGCAGCGCATCATACCGTTTCTGATTGAGGAATAGCTGGTGGTGACGGCGCAGAGCGGGGTCGACTTCACCGTGCTTGTCGAGGTAAGGGGCGACATGCCAGGTACCATGGTCGAGGTTAAGGAAGAGGACCATGCATTTGCGTATGTGAATGAAGAGGCCGATTTGACCGCCGCATCTGTGATAGTATTGTCAGTAAGGAGTGTTTTTCTTTTTGTATTGGAAAGAGGGCTATATGGGAAAGTGTAGGAAAAGGAAAAAGAGGGATGACGCACTTCGCTAAATGCTGATTGCAACCTCCACGGTTCTTATTCGTCATGCAGCATACAGCTTGGCTGCACATAATCTCGCCGCAGAAGAGACACAAGGCAGGATCTGTCAGTTCTTTGCCAGTTGTTGGACAGCGGCGGCGTATCGCTTCGTCAGTGAGCGTATCATAGTTCTTAGGCAGGCCTACGAGCTCAAAAATTGCGGGGTGGGAAAGCGATATCGTAGGTCGGAGGGGATTGTTGCCTGCTTGAGCCCATAACAAGTGTCGTAGCCACCCACCGACAATAGATCGGGTAGTGTGGGCTGCGCTTGTGCGCATGGTGAATGAGGCAAAGATCTCGTCGAGTGAGGGCAGACGGAGGATGGTGGATAGTCGCGCGAGTTCGGGCTCGTCCGCGCGTTCAGTGGAAACGTGTGGTAGATCGATACCATAGCGGACGTGCATTAGGATTGCGGCTTTGCGTACGAAAGGTAGCGCATATGTCGAGACCATTGTGTGTATGAAGTAGAGAAAGTTTGGATCCTTGAACCGTGGAGGAATAGGCATATTGTCGATATCGAGCGAGGAAGATGAGTTGCCCACATCAGTCACATTGTAGATAACGCAGATAAAGAAGAGTAGGTTGCTCATCTGCTCTGTTGACCCAAAGTTGTTGCTGACCTTTTCTGGGTTTATGAACTGTTCAGGATCCGGGAAGAGAAGATCAGAGTCCAGTGACATCTCTTCAGTCGAATGATTCTTTCTACCCAGAGCAAACACAAAAATCACCCGAACAATTTCTGCAAGGTAACACATCCGCATAATGTGGTGAATATCGAGATTTGCCGCTGAAACAATCCCAACAGCGCATTGTGAGAGGAAAATGAACGGATCCTGGCAAAGTAGAGGTGTAATGCCTTTGAGATCGAAGCTCAACACATCCGGGTCATATATACTAGGATGTCCAACTAGCAACTGACGGAATTGCCGGCGCTGGATCTCAGAAAACTCGTTGATAGTCTTGGTTGGACCCTGGCCTCGCAGACCTCCAATCGCAATGTATGAAGAGACACTTTCTGAAAATACCCGGAGATGCGTAATCGTCTGTGGGGAGATCCTGTCGATCAGAGTTCCGCGGGCGGCTTCAGACTGCACGCCTCGTTGAGCAATCTCTGCTGCAGCGATCGAGTATCCAAGGGCCTGCGCAAGGGCATCTGTGTGTGTAAAGTCCTCTGAAATAGCTGGTGTGTGTGGGTATGCGAACGAGGACTGAATGCTATTGACTTTCAATGTGTCTCTTAGTCTGTGGTATATCTTGATCAACTCTCCCATGGGAACATCCTGGGTCAAAGCTGGGCTGGTTTGAGTTGGGCCAAATCCTGATTCGGCGGCTTCCAGAGGTTGCACACCGAGGAAAGCCGGGACCTGAAATCGTGGTGCAAGCTGTGTTGGCGGTTGTGCGAGAGCGAGACCAGCTGTCGGAAGTTGGGGTTTGAGAAGGTCAGGCAGTCGGCTCGATACCGGTTGGATAAAATTCCGCTCTGCATACTCATAAAGCATTTTCTGGTCATGGGACATATCAGCAGGTACTTTCAACCCTTTTTCCAGACTCTTGTGAGTCGCGACCAGCTGTGACTCGAGCCAGCCGTCGAATGTTTGTTCAGTTTCCAGTACACCGGCACTAGACACCTTCTTTGCTTTCCAGATAATTGGCAAGAAAATGTTGCCCAGGGCTTTGCAAAGTGGGCACATGAACTCCTTGAGCTCAGGCCGTTCGGGGTGGTTTCTGGCAATTTGGCTGACATGGCGCCTTTGGGTCGCATTGAGGTATACCTCAAAGCAAGCAAAATGCATGATGTGTCCACAGCCGGTGGTCACCGGACCTGGTGTTACAGAAGCTGGCGGAAATCCTCTCCCCAGTTCTTGTCTTTCACTAGTCACTCGCTCTCCCGTAGCCGTCACCTTCTCAATCATGCGTCGGTTTCTGCCCGCAACGCCAAATGGCCGCAGGTCTTCGGCAGATCTGTCAAGACTATTTGGAGTCTGTACAACTTCATCTACCCACTCTGAATCTTCCAAGGGTGTTTGCCGAAGTATTCTGCTCTCGGAAATATACCCAAAAGATCCAAACAGTCTCTGTTCGTTGCAGTCCTCTTGACATAGTATGCATGTGCCAGAGGGGAATTTCAGTGTCTTTTCTTGTTCGACAAGCCCCCCAGTTTCATCTTCAAGGTCGCTGAAGTCATCTTCACCCCAATCGAAGTCCTGGTTGGCCAAAAATTTTCCTTGCTGCTCTTTGAACGCTGCCATGACCTTTGCCTGTCTCTCGAGAGCTTGCTTCTTCTTCAGCTCCTTAGACTTTTTATCTTGAGGCGCAGGTGAGGCAGTGTCCATTCTGTCAGCCGGCATGTTGATTGCAGCAGCAGCAATGATAAAAGAGTCTTGCTGTCGCTGCTTGAGCCTATGGAGTATCAAACTGATCTTTGGTTCGCATGCCTTGAAAACCTCCATGTCCTGAAGAGACTTTAAGATTGAAAGGACAGTCGGGTGTCCCTGTATTCCCATGCTGGCGTTTTGAGTCAACACTGAAGTGACAAAAGATTCTGGTGCTTTTTCAGACCACCCATGTTCTGTGCTTTTGTCTTCCAGGATAGCGACAAGAACCAACTGTAGGACAAATTGAATATATGTCTCCACACGAGTTGGTGGTATGCTTGGTGTAACTTGGGCGGCCTTGAGACCATACGCTAGTAGGTAATAGATGATCTGGGTGAACAATGGGGTTCTTGTAAAAGCGGACAAATCTCGAAACAGGCCAGAGGGGATCGATCGAAGTTTCGGCTCGTAGACGATGTCACTCGCTTGCTTCCCGGTTTGTTTGGCAACATACGCCTTGTAGATGTTTTCTGCCTCTTCTCTCTGGTTTCGGTTGTATTGGTGAAGGTACGGATCGATCAAGTCGATGTATTGTTCCTTCAACTCGAAAGTACCACTGTCAGACAAGCCCTCTGGAGGTCGGAATCTAGTCATTTCTGACAACACCTCAGGAAACTCGTCTAAGTTCTGAATCCGGTCTGATAAACGTGCTGTCATGTCGGAGAAGGAGAGTGGCTTGAAACACAAAACATGCGCAATGTCCTTGCGCATAGCAACCAGTTGAGACTCGTCGTTGTCTTCTGCGGGTATCAACGAAGTGCGCTCGCTGAGAATGATGATCAGCAAGTGGACAAAGTCCTCTACCACATCAATAGCTTGGCTATCTTCGAATCCATGGTAGCTAGCTTCATATCTTCCAGTCATCCAGCCGACAAGTCCGAAACGATCAACCATGGAAGCTAAGAAAACTGACGGATCACACAGCACAAGAGCAGACTGTAAGAGGAAGATGTCCCGTTGGTGGGAAACGTCTCTCTGTGATACGCTTCGGTATTGAGTCATCTGGTGTCGCAACGTGATACCGTTCCTGACCCAAATTCCCGCGCGCATCTGTGCCAGCCACGAACACACTCGAAGCGGGAAATCGAACATGGCAAGTAGGTAGTCTTCAGGCTCGTGGACTGGAACAGGAGCTACAGCTGGGCCAAGGTTCATCTGTAGTTCGCTGTGAGAAAATAGAAGCAGTCGTAGGATGTCCTCCCGATTCATGCTCCGTGCTCGATCAATCAACCAGGACACAGTATAATGAAGCGCATGGTGAAAGCTCATTGGCTGAGTCGCAACAACGTAGTCAACAATCTTGTATGGTTGACTTTGAGATGACTCGGAAAGGAATTCGAGAATTTCCAAAATCTTGAACTTGGTCTCTTCTTTTAGTTCTGTCTGATCAAAGCGTTTGCGTTCAGCACCTAGCGAGTTAATGATAGCAACCTTTGCGGCCGCACGTATTGCACGTTGAATGTTGGTTGGATCTTCATCGCGAGTCCAGGCGAAAGATTCCGCGAAATGTCTACACAGCTTGTTGATCTCCCGAGTGATCAAGGAGGCACTGATCCAAGCTTCAGATTCAAATTCTAGATGCTCACCCACTTGTCGAACGTTTGGACAGATACCTTGATGAAGCTTGACAAGATCAAGGAATTGTAAGAGGTAGCGCGGCTCTTCACGGATTCTCTCCTGGACAAATTCTGATCCGAGGAGATACTTCATATCGAGGAAAAAGTGGTACATGCGACGATTAGTCACTGCTCCCTGCTCAAAGGCTAATGTGGCTTTTGGATCGACATTCGAGGGATAGCCGACTTGACGCGTAGTCAGAAAAGTATAAAGAATGGCCATCAGATTAGTGAGGAAGTTTCCACGCTCAACCACCTCTGATGTGATAGATGGAGTCGTCAGCATCTGGAGAGATAGGTTGATAATGGAATGGTCCGGCTCGCGGTCCGCGATTAGATAAAGCTGGGCTAGAGCAGTATAGACGCCCGCAAAGCGCAGACCAAGCAGACGCTTGAATTCGGGGATTGTGACGACTGTGCTGATGAAGACATCGCGTATGCCAATACGCAACTGCTTCCACATTCGTAAGTCGTATAAGATGAGATGATCTAGCCGTAGGCGCTGCCACAGATCCTCGTGAGGAGGAGTCCCAGGCTTTTTGCCGTAGTTTTCAGGCTTCTCCAGCCAATACTTGGCCGGCCTTGCTGGTCGCAATGTCAAAGTCCGAGTATGCGGCGTCTCGGGTACAGGTAACATGGGTTCGACATGACTGAGTGACGGTGCACCAACTACAGGTTCACTATCAGACTCTGCGGGTGTTACGCTCTGTTCAAGCTGACCACGTTGTGTGTTTTGAGGAGCAGGGGGAGGTGGTGGTGGAGCAGGATAGCCTGCCCTGGCTGCTTCGGCCATTTCGAGTGTTTCATCTGCACTTTCGTACGCCTCCATTTCGACGTCACCATCCTCGTCCTGGGCGCCGACCTCGTCAATATCCATATCATCTTGGGCGTCGGCCGCAGGGCCGCCCTCGCCCTCCTCATCCTCGTCGTCATCGTCTGAGCCAGTGGTGTCGTCGGTGGCATCAGTAGTCCGCTGTCGCTGAACGCGGATAATTCGTGGGCGCCGTTGTATGGGCAACAGGCCATTAAAGAAGCCATCCATTTCAGCTTCCTTGTCTTCCATTTCATGATCGTCAAGACCGTTCTTGCCTATACCCTGATTCGATGCCTCACTTCCGACTCGCCACGGTTTCAACAGTTCTTCACAAACGGTGCGTCTGAGTATCTGGCTGTCTTCACCCACGCTACACCCCGCAATATCCGAAATCCACTCGATGATGGCACCGCCCATCTGTTCGCGGAACGTATCTCGAGCAGATCGAATTGTGACAGTCAGTTTGATCTCTTCGATGATTTTGGCCATCCTGAGAAGATCTTTGATGTCTGTTCGGTAGACGATTGCACTGCGCCCCACGTCGTTTATCTCATAAGCCTTTGCGAGGCCAAACGCCAGTTTCTGTTTGCACGCGCGTGCGACTTGGTCTCTAACATCATTGACCGTATGTTTCTCGTCGTTCCACAGCACCAAGCAGTATTCGTCACACTCTTCAGAGTGCTCTCCGGAACCGTACCACCTCGAAATCAGGCGCGAATTGCGTTCGTCTTGTCTGATCGACTCTTCGCTCTTGGGCAGGCGTAGTTGTTCGGGGGAACAGGAGAAGACATCGATGAGGTAATCTAGCGTTCGAGCGATTGTGATGCGTATGGTTTCGACAAGTTCATCTGGCAGCATGGAGCCTTCCCTCGCCTTACCAGCTGCTTTAGACTCATGCTCCGGGTCGACTGAGTGTATGTTGCAGTGTACAGGCCGTACCCACGCCTCGTCGTCTCCGCAGTCGCAGCAGCCAGAGTTGCCGGGCGAGACACTGACAAAGACCTGGTGGCCCTCATGGTTCGACGCATCGAAGCAGCGGGCGCATAGAACGCATGTGTCGTCGGCCGTGCATGTCTTGCAGCGGTATGTAGCCTCGCCGTTCTTGAAGATGTGCCCGCATGGCTTCCCCCTGGCTGCTGCTGTGTATTCTGCACCCTCTACAGCGCCCTGTGCGTCGCGCAAGCTCCATGGCTTCTCGCCGTCGGTTTGCGGTCCATTTGGGAAGAACAGAGGAAGGAAGTCGTCCCGACCAGCAAGTGATCGGAAAAGTATCTCGCGCAGCTCACGGTCAGCAGCGAGTTCGAAGCGGTAGTTGTGTCGTCTTGGCAGTTCGCGCAGCTGTCGACATAGTTCTTGCTCGTGTAACGACATGTACATGGCGCAGCTCCAGGCGGGATGGTGGGGTTGTCAGATGTCCCGCAGACGCGACGGAGGCAGATGTCGTGTATGAACAGGGCAGGATGTGTGTTGGTAGTGTTCAGTGTGGGCCTGCCACGTGAGTGAGGGTTTGTGTGATTGTGATTGCTTGGGTATGTGTGGTTAAGTGGAGGACGGGGTGAGGCGCTATGTCATATGTTTAAGTTTCGAGGTGAGGATCTAGGTAGGGCGGACCCCCGAGGCACGCGCAACGCCACCAGCGAGGGAACACTTGCCCCAGAGTCGACTGTCGTTTCACCAGCAAGACGAGACGGGTAGCCTGCACTATGGCGGTTCCTGCAGTATATGAATGCGTCACTTTGGCCCTGGATTTCGAGTAGAGGCTCCGTCTATTTGCATCTTCACTCCCATCGCACACGCATGGCCTCTTCTACGCTACCAGGCAGCCCTGCGCAAGATGACAGCACCACTTTTCACGACGGTTCAATCACGTCAATTCACGCATGCAGCGGCCTAAGCCCTACAGAGCCAGGATGCCACAGCGCAAATGCACATGACAAAACATGGGTCGGATTGCCAACTTGAATTGGTATTTCACATGTTGTAGATTACACTGCCATGGACTTTGGCCGTCCCCAAGAACCGCAAAGAGAAGTCTATATCATGCTCGAGTCGTAGTCTAGTCGCTTTTCCTACTCGTCGTCCTCGGCAGCCTCCATGTATCGGTGCTTGATGTCCTTCCATTGTCGCTGCCAACTGCATTAGCCTACATTGCCCTCAATGAGCCATTAGTGTTACATACGCCGCGGTTAACTCTGTCCCAGATCTTGTCCGAGGAGGTGTCGAACGCCCTGTAATTGCCATCAGCTTCCATCCCTTCCGCACTCATATATCCGGGTCTTTGCGACGTACAGCTGAAGGCCGAAAGCGGCACCGAAGACGGTGAACAACATGGTGGTGTTGCTGCGGAGGACCGCGCTGTCATCGATGGTCAGTGGGGGCCGGGTGAAGGAGATGCGCGAGGAAAGACTTGCTTGTAGACAGTGCCGAGCATCTGCATATGGCTGTTAGCGGGCGCTCGAGGCCTTTTTCGCATCAATTAACTTACGCCAGACATTTTGGACGTGTCGAAGGGGCTTGGTGGGCTGTTTGGCGGGATGTGGTGGTACTTTGCTGTCGGTGTCAAAAGGCGAGGTTCGTCGACAAGATTGAAGCTCTCGCGTCACGGGGATTTACGCTGCGCTAATTGGCTGTTTGCGGCTACTGCTTGGCTCTCTACCTTACTTTGACCCCCCACCACGCCCGTTTTCACACTGCACACCACAAGCAGCTCATACCAGCACAACCTAGGTATACGCCAAGTACCTGGGACGGACTGGCAACGGCCCTACTAAAGCAATTGATATTTCTGGGCTGTCGCGGTTGTCTTATACCCCCAGGCGCAACTACCGACGCCATGCCTTCAGCAGCCACCCCCGCCATTTCAAAGGCTGGCATCACCACATCAGCCACGGGTGAACGCCATATTCCATCCTCTGTTCGCCCAGATGGCTCTATACGCAAAGAAATTCGGGTTCGCCCAGGTTATCGCCCACCCGAGGATGTTGAACTTTACAAGAACCGTACTGCTGAGGGATTTCGAAACCGAGGCAAGGGCGGCGTACCAGGTGCTGAGACTATCACTAAGGAAGATGAGACCAGCAAACTGAGCCCTGCTGCAAACAAGAATGCCAAGCGCAGGGAAGCCAGGAAGAAGGCAGCAGCTTCCGCAAGCGACAGCAAGGAAGAGCAGAAGCCTGGTTCCACCGAGAACAAGGACAAGGAGGAGGTGAACCCGGAGCCTGAGAAAGCCGTTGATCCCGAAGCAGAGAAAGAGAAGGAAGCCAAGAAGCTTGCCAAGAAGTTGAGACAGGCTCGCGACCTCAAGGACAAGAAGGAGAAGGGCGACAAGTTGCTTCCTGAGCAGTTTGAGAAGGTTATCAAGATCAACGAGCTAATCCGCCAACTGGATACCCTTGGGTTCGATCCACAGGGAGAGAGAAAGAAGAGCGAGACTTGAAGCAAGCCACGCGACCTGCTTCTTCTAATACCTGTATGGCCGCTCTAGGCCTGTGGAACCCCAACACTCTCGCGGGTTCGCACACACACATCTGGTAACTCGCATAATCCAAAATCAATGTATGCCTTAACATAAGGTCACATCCGCAGACTTCTGGTACCTCAGTTGGAACATTATCCAACTTGAAAAGGCTCAGACCCTCCTTCAGTATCTGCCAGCCGCCGATTGCACTCAGCGCTGTCAGGCTATGGCCGTTTCAGCCCAAGATCATCGAGTTATCCAAATCAAAACTTCTCTATCCCATGGAGTGCGCAGTAATAGGCCTCTTGCGATTAAGCTCTCATCTTACATGAAGCTAGAACGGTGTATGGTAGGATACATGTACGGAAAAGATTAGCTATCAATTTTTTTTTCATTCTGCCATCTGCTTCCCTCCTTCACGTCTTTTGGTCTCTGCCTTTAACTCAATCAGAAAGCACATGCCCTGTAGGGTTATGGGATTAGTATAATCACTGATATTAATCCACATTGTGTGAAAAATCTTTAGCGCCACGTAATCTTCTAGTTACGTGATGCTGACATTCACTTCGACACGACTTGGTGGTGATGTTGTTACGAGATTATGGCGTTAATTGGACTTCAACACAGTCTACTATTAAGACACTGGTGCATCATAAATGAATGGAGATACCCGGCCATGATCAAAGTCCACCAGTGAAATACCGCTTCTACTTCCTGCGTTCAACACGTGGAAAGATTTAACCGAAGAAAAAGGGGGTATATAACATCCATCAATACATACCTCAACGAACGGATTGGTTACGAGTGAGATGGTTTGCGCAACGATAGTAGCAGACATAGCGGTAAAATCTGTGGTGATGATAATCGAAACCGTGATGCATCCAAGAAATGTAGAGCGTAGCAACTGTAGATATGCGACCAAACGGCAGATTTTACGGCAGTGCCATCGCAGAAGAGCTTAAGCTTTCCTGGGTCTGTGGCGTTAGAGAGAGAAAGTGTCTGATTCCGATGGGTTACTCTGTAGCTGGGCATAAAATCTTGGTGTAATTATCAATGAACAAAGCAAGCAAGACGAGAACAATTGCTTGCCCAAATTCCTCTCGTTGTAGCTTCAGCTCCAAGTCTAAGTCTAAGAGTAGGTTCTTAAGTCTGCTTTTCTTGAAGCATTGATCTTTCTAAGGCTGTATAGCACTAAGGCATCCTAATTGACTTTGTTAAGTCAGTTGTAGTTTGAAGAAGGTTTGAAAACTTGGAGTATGAAGAACATTGAGTTTTTTTTCCTTTTCTAGTTCACTAGTTCTTGAACGCCTTAGCCAGCAGCAGGGCATTTTGAACCTCAATAGAGATCGCGTTGGTTGGCATCAATAAATAAATTTGAATATGTTAAGATTCTAGTACTGAGGGGGGCTGTGGGCAATATTTCCAATTTCTACATTTGCTATTGTTGTGGCTAAAGACTTAATAATAAGAGCACTGCATTGTGGTTAATTTTAATCCCCATTTCTAGGAATCATGGACTAAAAGAACATACCATATTTTCACTGTCTTCATTCAAGCTCAGTTGGAAGACTTTTTTGACTTGGTTGTTCCAAAATCTTTTTTTTTTGGATATTACTGTGATTCGGGTTATTTTCAATCCTTAGTTGTATTCTACGGTCCTTTAGCCTGATTGAGAAGCTAAGGATACGTCTTTTGACATTAAATTCATCTTCCTTAGTATGGCTGGGAAGAGCGATATAGCCTGGCCTTGTGTAACATACATAGTATCCACTCGTTACCCAATGATGGAGCAACTCGTATTTTGCTGCAGCTGGGATACTCCTTTCGACCCGGTACCAATTCCGCCCAGATGTTCCGGGTAGCTCGGTTGCTATTTTTACCTAGACGGGAATTTAATCCGATTCCTGGAAGCTAGTGGAAGACGTCACAAAGACCTGGAATAACCATGTCTTTTACATCAAACAGGAAGGACCGAATTCTGGCACGGTGTCCGAAGGTAGCGCTATTTTATTGGGCTGTATTGTTTCCCTGTACCAAGGCTTCTTACAAACGGATTTTATTCTTCTGTTGAAGCCGATATCAGCCAGTGCGTACACGGGGTGGACGTAATTGGGCTCTGACTCGGTTCTGCAGTGTTTGCAGCGGAAGGAAGGGCCAGATGATCAAGCCAGGGGTGTGTTCTCACTTGGTATGTTAGGACTGCGTAATAAGCAAAATCACTCTATCATTTAAGTCCAAAAATCAAGCTTACAGAAAGCGTTGGATTTAAATTGGCATGCTTTACGTACTGAAGTTTTCATGTCAATATCTAGAAAGATCTATTGCACGACCTTTCCTCTACATTTACCATGAAAGACCCAAATTATCCCAATATAATCCAAGATAGTGTTGTAGACCAACTTAGAGAGGAGTTGAAGTTGTCAAGAACATGTATCTTGCAGCCAACAGATGTAGGCAGCAGTCGGAGGTCTACGAACAACTCCTGCATACGACAGAGTGGACTGCTACCTGAAGGACCGGTCATGGTCGAGCCAAAGCCCCATATACTGGAAGAACGAGTAACTCCGGCATCGCAGTGGACAGGCTCAACCAGGTACGAGCCAGCAGAGGGCGTGCACAATATTCTGATCACTGGCGGGGCTGGGTTCATGTAAGTGACATCACATGACAATTTTGGCTGTTCTAATGTGTAGCAGAGCATCATGGCTGACACGACACTTGGCCATCAACTATGCAGACGTGTACAATGTAGTATGCTTTGATAAGCTGGACTACTGTGCATCGATGAAGAACATTGAATGCCTGCTTCCCCTCAAAAATTTCTCTTTCTATTATGGCGACATTCTCAACACATCGGATGTGCTAGAAGCCATGGAAAAGCACCAAATCGACACTGTGTTCCATTTCGCAGCACAGTCACATGTCGACCTGAGTTTCGCTAACTCGCTACATTTCACCAAAACCAACGTTGAGGGAACGCATATCCTGCTCGAGTGTGCTGTAAAATCCCAAATCCGACGGTTTATTCACGTGTCGACTGATGAGGTTATGGGCGAGGTGTCCGAGAATGACGCGGACTTGCTCGAGGAAAGCGTACTGTCGCCCACCAACCCGTACGCGGCTAGCAAAGCAGCAGCAGAGATGTACATCAACGCATACGCCAAAAGCTTCAAGCTGCCGGCCATTATTGTGCGCAGCAACAATGTCTATGGGCCGTGTCAATATCCAGAGAGTAAGTTTCAAGGCATAACAGACACAATTTAACATGACAAAGTGCTGATAGAAGCAACAGAAGTGATTCCTAAGTTTGTGAGCTTGCTGCTCAAGGAGCGAGGACTGGTGTTGCATGGGGAAGGGCACAACTCACGGCGGTACCTATACGCCAGTGATGCGGCGGATGCATTCGACACAATCTTACACCGCGGAAAGATTGGGGAAATCTACAATGTCGATTCGTGCGACGAGGTGTCCAATGCTGATCTCGCGGTACGGTTGCTCGACCTGTTCCAGGTGCCTAAGAGCAGCCAACACGCCTGGATACGCACTACGCATGATCGGCCCTTCAACGACCGGCGATATGCGGTGGACGGGCAGAAGCTACGTAAACTGGGCTGGCAACAGCGTATCACATTTGAACAGGGGATTCGTGATACAATTGCGTGGTATAGTGTGCATGGCGCCGAGTGGTGGGGCGACGTGAGCAGGGCACTGGAGCCATTCCCGTTACTGCACGACTTGGAAGCGGTATGTCACACATGAGGCTGATGTGTAATATAAATTTTGCCACGTGTTCGTTGAAAACATTCGTAGCAATAAACAAATAGGAACGATACATGGATAGATGTCAAATGCCCAGACGATCGGGAAATAAAACTACTCCCTCGGACGATGTGAGTATGGTAGATGCGGTCCAATTCTGACTTGCACGGAAAGCCTTCGGGCTGCATTCACTTAGGGAAACGCTAAATGTCTGTGTAGAACCGAGCTGCAGACTGCGTAGGAAACTACATGGCGGACATGAACCCCCGAGCGGGTAGCATGCGGATGCACAAGCCTGCACATAACATGTGAAACATCGCCGCTTTACGAGAGCTTTACTGTGAGGGCATATGGTGGATACGGCTCTACAGGGCAAAACTTGGACTTACAGAGCACTTCGCAAGCACTCCCCATTTCGATAGGGGGAGCTAGCCAGGATCAAGGATTTTGGAAGTCGGATTATATCAGTACTCCCGACCCTGCGGCTTGCAGACTTGTTGAGTACAGCATGATAGCCTTATCATGCGACAAATGTACATGGTTTCTTACTGTAGTCGTGTAGTCAGTACGTCGGCCGAAGTACAACGTAGATGCCCTGTCGTGGTGGGTCTGCGCTAGCATGGGACTTGCATCGGGTTGTGGCGTTCTCGTCCCGAGAAGGGCTTGTCTAGTTTGATGTAATCCTACCGGAATATAAATCTGCTCTAAACCTAGACACGTAAGTATCGCGTCTTTTTTCGGCTAAGCCAGGGTAATAGTGCATGCATACATACGACGACAACGAGGATCTGCAAAATCCAGGCTAAGCAGCGAGTCATGCGTCAGATGTTCGCACCCAAGTGACAGAGTGCATAGCCAGTAACATGTAGATGCACCGTACATACTTACAGTACACAGGCCCCTGTATTTAAACAGTTGCAGGAAGTCAAAGCTGTGACACAACCTCGCTTCAGCCTCTCATGTCGACTTTATCAGCTACCGAAAAGCCCGCGCTGCTTATCTGCGCGTCACCCTACACCGGCCATGTCACGCCATTGCGTACGATTGCTGCCGGCCTGGTACAAAGTGGCTACCACGTCTACTTCCTCACTGGCGCCGCTTTCTCCAACGCGGTCACAGCAACAGGAGCCAAATTCCTGCCACTGCCTGCTGACGCCGACCTCGACGAGGCCGAGTTGGGTATACGCTGGCCCGGTATCAAATCGATGCCGCACGACATCCAGGGCCAGGTAGGGTGGAACTTTGAGCACATTATGATTGGTGCGCACATGGAAGCCCAGTTCCAGGGTATCCAGACCGCCGTTGCTCATGTGCGTGCGGCTGAGCCAAGTCGTCGACTCATTGCCCTGACGGACGTCTGGTTCCTCGGCTCGCTTGTGGCCATGTCGGGGGCGCCAGGTCCCCAGCCAGATGGGTGGGTCGGCCTCGGGATGGTAGCTATGGGTCTCTCTAGCAAAGACTGTGCACCCTGGGGTCCGGGAGAGCTGCCGGATCCCTCAGAAGCTGGCCGTGTCCGCGATGCTGCTATCCTTGCTCACACGCAAGGGGCCTTCGCAGGCGCTCAGGCGCGATACGAAGACATCATGCGCCGCTGCGGTGCGAAACGGATCGCCGACTGGTTCTGGGACGAGCCGTGGCTGCTCCCGAACCTTTTCGTCCAACTTTCTCTACCCAGTCTTGAGTGGCATCGAACTGATGCTCCTTCGACCATCCGCTTCTCCGGCGGCCTGCCCAAGCCAGCTGTCAAGAAAAGTGGGCATCGCCCTCCCTGGTTGGATGAACTCATCAGCCGCCGCCAAGCCGGGAAGTACATCGTTGCCGTTAGTCAGGGCACGATAGCAGTCAATTTCAACGACCTCGTTGTCCCCACTATGGAGGCTCTCGGTGGCCGAAGCGATGTTTCACTCGTCGTTGCTCTTGGTAGGGCGGGCAGGTCTCTCCCTGCAGATATCCACATACCAAGTAATGCTCGCGTCGAGGGCTTCATTCCGTTCGACGAGCTGCTTCCGTACACTGACGTCTTCGTTACCAATGGAGGCTACGGGAGCGTTCAACATGCCGTCGCGCAGGGCGTCCCGCTGGTTCTGGCTGGCGCTAGCGAAGACAAGCCCGAGGCTTCTGCGAGAGCAGAATGGGCTGGCGTCGCAGTCAATCTCCGAACAGCCACACCGACTCGCAACCAGGTCAAAGAAGCCGTTGATCGTATACTGGTTGACAAGACGTACGCAAACAAGGCAAAGCAGCTCAAGGAAGAGATGGAGCATGCAGATCCCCTCGCTGTTATCATCGAGAGCATAGAGGAAGTGGCAAACCGCCCGTCCCTTGGTTGATCATAACCCTTTTTTCTTATCTTTGATAGTACTACGCGAATAGAACTTGACCATCTCTTGTTTCGGTATATACCATTTCTGCGTGATTTCCGAGCCTTGGTTGTGCATATGCCCCGAGAGAAATGCTCCGACCCTGCCCTCTTTAGTAACGGACGAATTCTGAGGCAGAACCCCAAGTACAAAGCCGCGTATACAAATCTAAAAGGTAAGAGCAGTCGTAAAATATCTCACGGGCATATGCACATGGTGAGACTTGTCTCATCGAATACAGATCCCAAACAAGTCAAGCCCTTCCGATCTCCAAACTGCCTGCATGACACTAGCATTATCATCCCAGATCCAGTCGGAAGATTTACTGTTCGCTCTTCCTAGGAGGTGCATACGTAGCAACCTCTGATCTCCACTGTAATCGCAGCCTCATCCTTGCAAGAAAAAAAAGGGTATTGTTCATGATGTTTTGTCGACACGACCGGGATATTGACCCAGCACATGCCTGACTCCTACCCTTAGTCTTAGCCCAGAAGTTACCTTCTACTCTGGGTTATTCATATAAACTCTGACACATACGATTGATGAAATTTCTACCAAAATTTTGACCTTACCTATTATTTTTATGTTCATCTACAGCACGAATCGTTTTGTAAACGACGGGAATACGTGTATCCATGATGGCGTGGATAGTGAGCTATGCGCTTGCGATTATCTTCACATCAGTCGGTACTCCTTATTTCCATAGAACCCAGAAACCTGGGAGCATTCACCCCACCTCATCGTAGACTCATGCTAACCAATTTCTCTACCAGTTCCTTGCACATCTGTGCATCAAGGCTTTGTATAGACTGTACTTTAGTCCCATGGCCAACTACCCCGGGCCCTGGTATTTCGCAGTTTCAAAGCTTCCCAGAATATACTACGAGTATATCAAGGGAACTTTGCCTCTGGATGTGCGCCTGCTACATGAGAAATATGGCCCTTTTGTTCGCATTGGACCAGAGGCCTTGGCAGTCGACGGTTCGCTCGCCTGGCCAGACGTGTATGGTCATAAGAAAAACGGTGTTTCTGAGTGGCCTAAAAGTCCTGAGTTCTACGGCAGTGTTGAGTCTCAAGGTAATATTCTTGGGGCCAATCAGGAAGACCACCGCAGAATGCGCAAGCTAATTGCTCATGCTTTCTCGGAGCAAGCCTTGGCTGCTCAGGAAGACTATATCCACAAATACGTGAAGCTACTTGTAGCAAATCTGCGCTCTCGTATGCAAACGGAGCGTTCGGCAGATATGGTGTGTTACTTTTACAGCTTTACCTTCGATGTTGTCGGAGAACTTGCTTTCGGCGAATCCTTTCATTCGCTAGAGAACGACAAACTTCACCCCTGGGTTTCCTTGTTTTTCAACAATCTGAAAATGATGACGAGAGAGCGGATATTCAATATCTACCCTGTCTTACGACCGCTTCAACGTTTCTTCTTTACCAAAGAGATGCAGGAGAAGAGGTTAGAACACCTTCAATATGGCAACGACAAAATCTCGGCACGGCTCGGGGCAGGCGAGTCGCCGTCTCGCAAAGACTTCTTTACCTATATCCTTAGGTATAATGATGAGAGAGGAATGACCAGAGATGAGCTTTGTTCCAATGCCGCTATGCTGGCCATTGGCGGGTCAGAGACAACGGCCACGGCGCTCTGCGGTTTGACTTACTACCTTTGCAAGCACCCAAAGGTTCTGAACAAGTTGACCAACCTGATACGCAGTAATTTCGCCACCGAGAAAGAAATCACTGCGCTCGCTTTGGCTCAACTTCCATACCTAAATGCGTGCATTGAGGAAGGCTTGAGGCGCTACCCGCCATCCGTGGAGACAGCATCGCGAAGATCGTCTGCCGGGGGATCGTTCATTGACGGTCGATATATCCCCGAAGGTGTAAGTATATTTGCTACTACATACAACCGATCACGGCTAACAAGGAACGGCTAGACTGATGTCACTGTCTTCCAATGGGCAAATTACCACAACAAGAACAATTTCAAGGACCCATTCGGGTTTGTGCCGGAGCGCTGGTTTCCGCCTTCACACCCTGAGTATGATTCTCAATGGGAAGGTGACAAGAAGGCATGCTACCAGCCCTTCTCGTACGGTCCCCGAAACTGCGTTGGCCACAACTTGGCACGCAATGAAATGCGACTCGCTGTTGCATATCTGCTCTGGAACTTTGATATTGCTCTGGATCGAGGTATGGATAGGTGGCAGGAAGATCAAAAAGTGTTCACTGTGTTTGATAAACCGCCTCTTCTGGTTGTCCTAAAGGACATCAGGTAGTATTTTGGCAATCATCCCATTTGTGTATATTTACCAGCACGTGATTAGAACTCGCATTTGATTGAACAGTAAGTGCATTTATTTCATAGGACGCTTGAAGTAACTAGCTATCAGCGGCTACTCGGACGAATTCTGAATATGGGACTTAATTATGAATCATTTGCCAAGTATAGGCTTCGGCCTTTGAGATACACGTTTCATGAGTGATTTTCATTATTAACTTCCTTGAAGCAGCAAGTCCTTATTCATCATTCTACGCAAACGACGTAGAAAGGCTACATACGCATGCCACGAACATTACATCGGCGTGTTACATAAAAATATGCAATACTGATATGTCCTCGGTCAACGCTATACTAGGAAATAGGTCGAGTTCTCCACCTGCGTGAATCCGTGCTCCTGCTCACATACTAGCCAGGGTACCTGAACAGGGTGGATTCCGTGCATGAATACGAAGCAATCTTTCCGGTTCCGCCTGCATCAGCCTTATACTAGCATTCAGGTGGGTCCATTCGGAATATGTCAGTATCCTGGACAAAATAGCATGTGCATCAACTTGCCATCGTGCACGGTAATTTCAAGAGAAAAGCTTCGAAATAAAGCGGCGAATTCATGCGGATACTTGATCAAGTATAGTCAGTGGGCACGTAATTGATTAAAGGAAACTTATTGAGCGCACCCAAGCGGGGCACCTAGTTGCGGGCCTTTTTACCAAATGCTAGTCTAATGTACTATAATAACCCGTGCATGAATTGATCTCGTTACGACCAAACACCTTCTATCACTCTAAACCAAATATCACGCCACAGACCAATTCTACTTCTATCAACATGAGTACCTCGGGCAAAGCCAGTGACCAATCATTCCTGATCTGGGGAGGCAACAGCTGGATAGCCAGACAACTACTCCAGCTCCTGCGCGATCAAGGAAAGCGGGTTGTATCAACAACGGTCCGAATGGAAAACCGAGAATCTGTTGAGAAAGAGCTCGACCAAGTCCGCCCCACGCATGTATTGAATTGTGCCGGCTACACCGGTGTGCCAAACGTCGACTGGTGCGAGGACAACAAGGAGAAGACTATCCGATCCAATGTCATTGGAACCATCAACCTGGTAGACTGCTGTTTCGTCCGCGGAATACATGTGACTACATTCTCCACTGCTTGTACGACATCCCTATTTCTTACTTCCGGTACCCTAAACACCAGGGATAAGGCTACTAACTTGAAATTCGTAGGCTTGTACGCATACGACGAGGCCCATCCGATTGGAGGACCTGGCTTTCGAGAAACCGATGCGGCAAATTTTGCTGGCAATTTCTACTCGGCAACAAAGTGGCACATCGAAAACGTCATCAAGCACTACGGAAATTGCCTCATTCTGCGTATCCGCATGCCAGTCTCCGACGACCTTCACCCCCGGAGCGTCGTGACAAAAATCACGCAATACGACCGTGTGGTCAACGTGCCCAACTCGCACTCTGTGCTCCATGAGCTCCTCCCTGCGGCTATCATCCTGACCGAGCACAACGAGACGGGCGTTTTCAACTTTGTGAATCCTGGTGCTATATCGCATAATGAGGTTCTGTCGCTGTTTAAGAAGCACGTACGACCTAGCTTTACGTGGAAGAATTTTAGCGTCGAAGAACAGAACCAGGTGCTGAAAAGTGGGCGGAGCAATTGTATGCTGGATACTACAAAGGTGCAGGATACTTTGAGGAAATACGGATATGAGATCCCAGAAGTGCACGTGGCGTGTGAGCAGGCTTTCATACGAATGGCTCGTAATGGTGTTCATTAGACATGCAGTGTGATCTATGCTATATCTAGACCATCAATTTCATTTTTTTGGAAAATGATATACTATTCCTTTTCACTTGCATAACTTGATATTCAAGAGGGAGTGTAACAGGATTGAGTAACTTGCAAAGTCTGGAGACGATTTTCCTGGTATTCACGAGAAGGACATACTACGAATGCAAACCAACTTGTAAGCTTTTTATAAGAAACAAGGGGAGTTATTCAAGGTTTTCAGTAACGCTCAATATCTAAGAAGGATTAAATTCAGTCTTAATGAGCGCTATGCTGATTTTCTATGTTAATTTTCAAACTTCGACATTGTTGTTGATGACAATCTTTTATACGGTTCACGAGTTAGACAAAATGATATCTGTGCACATGGTCAACCGGGCCGTTGAAGTCACATAATACAACAGGTTATGAAGAACATTTAAAATCTATGTTGGCTATAGTAATATAGATATGCGACATTCAATGTGTACTCCAAACCTTGACTAGCTAAGCTTCGCCTTATCTCCCCCATATCTGTCCATGATAGATGAGCAGAGCACGTTTCCTGCCAGCGTAGCCACACAAGCCATGACAAAGTCATATTCATCATCTGTAAGCTCTCCCTTGAGCCGCCCAATTTCGGCATCAATGTCACACTCAACCTGTAGTTGCAAGCCGTATGTAACAGTCTTGCCCTGTCCCGGTACACTGAGAAGCTCTTCAACCATATGTACCGTGTTTATTAAATACTCGACCTTGCCTTCGTCGTACGCTCGCTTCTCCTTCTCGTATGAGCCGAGATCGTTTACATAAACGATGTGGTTTCCGAAGAGCCGTACCAGCGTCTGCAGCTTAGGGCTGTTTATTTCGACGCTCGAACCGATTGAAAATTTGGTGCATGCTAGGACGTATCTGAAGATGGATTTAGCTTCATTATAATTATCTTGAAGGAGTACAGAAACCCTTGCCTCACTGCAGCGTCGTCCCGACGATAGGCCAGAAACTCATCCAAGTTGATGAACTGCGCGGGTGGTGGCGGAGGGTGCGTGCAGAACTCAACGAGCATATCAATGACGTCCTGGCCACCTCTTGCTGCGTAGCTCTGAAGATCCCGAATAGTCTTTTCAATCGAGACCTGGAGTGGTGTCTTGGCGGGAGCTTGAGTTCGTAAGTGCGAAATGAAGCCTTCCTGAATAATGGGGATCTTGATGTTGTTAGCTTTTCAAAGCCACCAGAACAGAATGCCATTGGTGTGAGTTACCTTTGTATCTTCATGAGCTTCCCAGAGATCTAGAAGCGTTTGTGTTAGCCTTTTGCTCAGCCGGACCTTTCTACCCAGATGATATTCTTACCATCGAACACAAAAACATAAACCATGACAATCGCCATTAGCTTGGCCTTGTGTTCATTGCACTCTGGAAACATGTATAGTGTGAACCTGAGGAATCCATTCTCGGCATTTTGTAGAAGCTTGCTCGAGACCTGGCGAAACGATTGTCCTTTCCTCGTCCGCTCACCGTAAAAGTCGTCGGCAGCGAATAGCTTAAGTTGCTCGATACCAGCGGCTAGAGCAGCATTCCAGTGCTTGCTTTGACGGAAGCAGTTGAGGGCAGTCCAACGGGGAAGACCTGCGGCCTCGGGTGAAATTGTGATAGCGTTGGTGCTGAGAAATGGCGGGGCTGAACAGGCTGCTTGTTCGTGGAAAGCATCGTTTAACTTTAGATTGGGAAGTCTGAAGAACTCGGGTAGGCTGTCTAGATAATTATAACTATATTGTACCGGAAAAAGATGACGCTTGTCAGCCGGCGACGCCAGTGATTCTGTGGCGATGTCAGACTTGCTACCCATCTTTCATTCAAGACTTTATCAGCAGGGATTGGATACCATTTACATCAAATGCCAACATGTTGATATGGCGTGGTATAGTAAGTGCTTCTGTAGATTGGAGAGTAAATGCTATGAAACTTATGTAGATGTCGCGACACAGGCACAATGACAAACATGATATATTTTACGACCTGCGGACCCCCGGCACTACTTCGTATCCACTGTATTGAGAGTCTTCCGCTTGGTATCTCGGCCGGTCGTAGATCTTCCTTTCGCCGGAGGCTCCGACGGGCTATTTTCGGGTTGATCGCAAAGACATGTCAGGGAAGAATGATGTGACAGGGATGTGTGGTCCGTAAAATGTTACATGCAAGGGCTGTACGAATGTCTGGTAAGCTTGGCGCTAAAGTAGCAGCGGTATTGCATTACGTCGTTAGGTAGTTGAGCTAGCCAAAAACCTTGTCTTGATGACAGTACCCCACTCAAAACTTCTATACTTTTCACATTGCATCTTGATATAACTCTCTAATATCGGAAAGGTTGTTAGAGCTCTACACAGCCTAACCGCATCTAGTATCCCCAAGGATACCTAGCTAAGAGCCGCTGATGCAACAAAACGCTGTTCGGTTTCCGAACATATGACACCAACAGGGATTAGATGCACTAAGCCAAATAATTTATATTGAGAAAAGATGCTACTGATCGTGTCAAAAAATCGGTACACACGCACGCACGCAGAAAGGCATACACCGGCAAAGACCAGACATGGTTCAAAAAAAATTCAAAGTGATCATTGTCGGGGGAAGCGTGGCTGGTCTCACACTGGCAAACCTGTTGCAGAATCTGGGTATCGACTTTATCGTTTTGGAGGCCTACAACGACGTTGCACCACAACTTGGAGCTAGTATTGGCCTATATCCCCATGGTTTGCGCATATTGGACCAGATCGGCTGCTATGAGGATATTTCACGGCTGGCGTCACCATTTAGTAATATCACGGCGAGAAATGAGGACGGCGACACGCTGTTTTCATTTGATATAGGTAAACTGATCACAGAAAGGTAAGTCAGAAAATATGGCTAGGACAGGAGGTAATTTAGTCCACTGACATGGTAGAACAGACACGGCTACGGTGTGCTCTTCCTCAGTCGTCAGCAACTGTTGCGAGTCCTATTCAAACACATTCAGAATAAGTCGGTCGTGCATACCAACCAACGCGTGGCGAAGATTGAACACACAAGTAGAGGGGTAAAGGTGTACGCCCAGTCTGGGTCTGTCTTCGAAGGCGACATTGTTGTCGGTGCGGATGGTGTCCACAGCAAAGTTCGCTCCGAGATGTGGCGACTGGGTAATGAAGCGTCGCCGGGACGCTTTCCGGAGAAAATTTGGCGCGGTAAGGAAGCGTAGATTTTGCAGCCTTTACAGTCACTTGATCTAACACACAGCGTAGAAATGCGTACCGAGTATAAGTGCGTATTCGGTATTTCCAAGTCACCAGGAGATGTTGGTGCAACCAATGTCTCCTTTACACACAAGAAGAATCGCACCATCGCAGTAATGGCCGGGCATGAGAACCGATTGTTCTGGTTCCTTTTCGTCCGACTTGACAAGCCGCACTATGGTACGGACATTCCGCGGTTCGAAAAAGCCGCTGCGTTAGAGTATATTAGAGAAGAGGCTAGAGATATGATCACCCCCAATCTTTCCTTGGGCGAGGTTTTTGAGAATTCTGAGACTTGGGATGCCACGATGGTGCCACACCATGCCTTCGAAGATTGGAGCTGGGGGCGAATGTTTTTGTTGGGTGATTCTGCGCAGAAAGTGAGCACACAGTGTACTTGCAAAGCAAATCCTAGCTGACGAGACGTGTTAGTTTCATATTCTGACCGGTCAAGGCGGCGAGTCGGCCATAGAATCTGCTGCTGTGTTTGCCGACAACATCGCGATTATGCTGCGCGAATCAAAGGGCAACCCTAACACTGACCAGATTAGCCGTGCCTTTGCTAACACGCATGCGGTTCGATTTGGACGTGTAAAGAGTCTGATCGGTGCGACCATAGCAATTCAGCGACTCTTCGCTTGGGAAACGCCCGTTTACAAGCTGATAGACAAGTACATCATCCGACACGTCGATCCTCATCCGGTTGTCAACGTGTTGAGCAAGCAGATGGTAGCTGCCCATCGGTCGCATCTTTTGCCAGCACCCGAGCGTCCACATGAGATTCCTTACGATGATGAGCTCGCAATTTCATCCCACAAGCGAACCATTTCCAAAGCCGTCGCCATCATCGGCTACCTTGGGCTAGTATTCTTCGCCGCTTACACGCTGGCCATAGTACCTATGACTGATGGAACCTTGAACATAATCGAGACAGCAATCAAAGAAGGCAGGTACAAGGGCCAGGCACAGAAAATGCTCAATTTCGACCACGTACCCGTCCTTGGGTCTAACATGAACACCCTGATTGCAGCCTACTTCCCAGCCATCGAATCCTGGGACGTAGGCTACCGACTACTTACACTGAACCTTGCTCTTTCCGAATTCGTCATCATTGCTATATGGCTAGTGGAGTCGCTCCGAGCGCGCAATTATCTAACGCCAGTCCGCTGGGCTATCTTCTTCTTTGCGCTCAGCAGAGTTTCAGCCATTGCAATCATGGCGCCCCTGTTTTTCCTAATTGAGTCTCTTTGCACTGGAGATCCGCAAAACTGGTGGCCGCCGGCACTTTATTCTCGATCCGCCCAGGCAAACATACTGCTGCCGGCCCTCGTTCTTGGGATGCTCGTGCCAACTTTGCTCATGTGCTTCCCGTTCCAGGAAAGCAAGACACGACAGTTGATGGCCATAGTTTGGATGTTCTCTCCCGTCTATGTGTATATGCTCCAAAGTGTATTGGGCAGCATTACCAATCTGGTTTCTGTGAAAGGTTCCGGAGGTTGGAGCAAATCTAAAAAGCCTGAGCGATGGTTGTTTCTCAGCTCACTGATAATCAGTATTTGCGCGCATTTCTACACTGTTACCCAGTCGCTCACGTCAGATAATCCCCAGGCCGCTTTGTCACGCGTCTTTGTTCCACGACAAGACAACGGCGTCTCGACACACCAGGGTCATCACAACATGTTTCTGTGGGACTACTATATTCTCATGGCGTCTGGAGTGCTCTGGTGTTTCATCACTACTCGCAATATGGAGAGGGCAAAAATTATCAAAGCCCAGTGGAGTATGCTTACAGCAGCATTTGCGGTTGGCATCATCATTATTGGACCAGCTGCATCTATTTCTGCCTTTTGCGTTTGGCGGGCAAGTAAAATCGCGTAACAAACTTACTGCGAAGAAAGGATGTGTGGCTGAAGGTTGGTGAGTCAATGGGTATAGGAACCAGCGTTATAGCGCAAGGCCTCGCTGCAAACGCTAGTGAAAAAGCTTCGTACGAACAAGGCATGGTTTAACATAAGAAGATTATTTCGTGTGCAGCTTGGCTCTCGTAAATTGACTTCTCTATTTGCTTCGATTGTTTTTTTTTTGCAGGGTAATGCAAATGCAAACTTATTAGTATACTATTGCCTCTTCTCGCATGTAACCGATGCAGATACCAGAATCGATGGGAATCATATGAAAATCATTCTTAGTATGTATTTAAAAATCTTCAAAAATCCATCTCAACGAGAAGCAGATATATATAGACTATCAGTACGATAAGATTGAACGGAATTAGAGTCAAGTTCCCTGTTACATTGAAGACCCATCAAACGAATTCTAGCACTGATGTCCGTTATCCTTTTCCGTATTCCTCTTTCCAGAATTTATACCATCCATCTCTTGCTTCTGAGAATTGCGATAACGCAGAGTAGCTCTCTTGACAAGACCATTCTGTATCCTGTTAGACTCCAGATCGCGATGCTTGAAGTCTTCTTTTCCAGGATTACATTCAGCAGAAGCGCAATCGCAGAGGATTCGATATCTGAAGGGCTCTCCAGTCCCATGGGTCTGTATGGGATTCTTGTAAGCTAGTACAGCAGTGCCCTCGTCCAGCGCAGCAGCCCGATCTTTGTGAGCTAGCAAGACAGTGTCGTGGGATAGCACGGCTTCCCCAACATCCATATGGCATCTTCGTACTGGGCGGTTGAACTCCATGCCGGATTCTTTGTCCAATAGGATCGTCAGATCGACCAGAAGGTGCTGAATGCGGCGAATCCGATGATCGGGTATAACAGTAATGATTCCTGGGTTTTGTTGCCTCTCTTTCTGGATGTCCTTCTCGTATTTCTCCAACACTTCAAGTTCTTTCTCATTGGTTATACTATCTCTCATCTTCTCGTATCCTTGGGGATTGTCCCTACCCTCCCATGTAGTCGAGTATAAGTATCTGAAACGGCGATAGATGATGTTTTGCAATCCATCCTCATACCACCCAAACACCTTCTTCAGCTCCTTTGATTTGTCACCTTTGTTTGCTGGAACTTTTGCTATGTAGTTCTTCTGAAACTCGACCCATCCCATTGTGCGTAGCTCAGCCTCATTTCCATCGCCGTCGAGATCAGTAGAGATGGTCATGTGTTCTTGTATGCTTAACAGGTCGCCTTCAAACCAACGGATTTCCAGACTTTCGCGTCCTATGTAATGCATTGATATGAACTCGTCTTGGATCTTCCAGAGAAGTCTCTTCAAAACATGTGCGCGTTCGCCTCTTATGTGTGCAAAATATTGCGTCATTTCGCGGATGATGTGTACACCAGCGAAGTACTGGCCAAACAAGAACGAAGTAAATTTCGCGTCCCAGCCATCACCATAGGCCTCGCATCTTTCCGGGCTATAGTACTTGTCTTCGAGTATATCGTAAAGCCAGTTGGCAAGGTCCCAAGACGCGATGAGGAGAGGTACCGAATACCGAGCAAGTGCTTTTCGATTTCTACGCGATTCCAGTCTTCTTTCGTTCAGCCCGGACATCCAGGCTGTCGCAAGAGCGCCGCATAGAGCGAGAATGCCCGTGAGAATGGCTGCGATGGAGCTTCCGTCAAGCATCTTGTGCTAGCAAAGACTGCCTACCCTGAAAACGGGGCTTTCATGGGATGATCTATCATCGAGAATTCTAAGAGAAATGTGAATTAGTGCGCTAGCAGTGCTCAGAGGTGGTATGATTTGAAGCCTTCGAAAAGGTCTCGGTAATCGTAACTTTGTGTGAAACTTGTATGCTTCTAAGTTCATGCAAGGGGCCGCTGTAACTATATAGAACGAATGGTGTCCCTTTTCCTTGCTAAGTGGATCCGTGATTCAACCTGTGTTGCTATCAGCTGGTCTGACGAAGGACCTGTGCCGTGTTTGTATTGCAGATCGACTGGTAGATTCACTGCAATTGGCTGGTTTTGATGTTGTGTCTCAAAGCGGAAATGCTTTTCTCCCTAGTCCATGCTTCCGGGCCCAAGATCGATGGAGCTAAACATATTAACGCGATCGACGATCTCAAGGGAAGAACAACACAGCTCAGGAACCGTTAGATAATAAACCCATGATAGCTAACGTTGTTCATCCAACAATACCTTCCTTGAGCAAACTTAAGACATGTAAAAGCGACGCAATATTGAGTGTCATGCTATTTAGCAGATGTTTGACCTTCTCTGACCCTATACTAGCGCTATGTCTACTCTACCACATTGCCTCATTTTTTCAGATGACACTACTCAAGTTCGATTGATCTCCGATAATGCGTGCCTTTCTACAGCATTTTAAGGTATAGTAGTAATTCAGCCCCAAGTGTAGATCAAATAAAGTATCAGCGGCGGGAGGTCTGTGCATGCAGCACGCTAGACTTCAAAAGCGGGCGATGATGAAATCCTATCCGGTTTCGACCACATTTCCTACACAGCACAAACATTGATCCTTACCGCCTTAAGCCACCGTCAATCTACCTAACTGATTTGATACTAAGCGAGTTCAGCTCCGTCGTGCTCAGGCTGGACGCCACTAGAGCTACGTGTCAGCTCGGCTTGCAACACAAGATCACTTGTACCCCATTACGAGTCGTGGGCATTTGTTCGGGATTGTATTCCATGATAAACCAACCTCGATTATTGACTGTCTATAGTTTAATATAAGAATTTAAGCTACATTACAATTGTATATCAAGATCACATGCATCGATTTAAGCAAATTGTCAGAAGGACCCTTATAGTCTGGCCAACGCGTACTTGCTCATCGACCTTTGATACCAACCTTCACTTCTTGCGATATCGTACTCATCTCTTTGAATAGATTGAATTAGAGCTACAGTATACGTCATCTGGTTCATTCTCGTATCGCTAGCTGACAAGGCATCTCAAAATTCAAATACCGACTTGTCAATATCCATCCTCCAATACGTCATCGTTTGATATTCCCCCCAATCGACAGTGCGCAACCAAGCTTTATATCTCGCGTTATCTTCAATCCATTTTTTTGCTTTTCTCTCTTCTTCCTCATAGATAGGATTGCCTGGCTGCAACCTTTTAGCTTCCTCAATACATCTGAGCATTTCGCCCCATGGTGCCATCGAATGAAACTCCCATTCTACACGCAGGGCTTTCGCTTTCATGTAACTAATTTCGGCTTCCTCGTGAATGGGAGGATCGTAATGTGATAAGAAACCGTGAACACGTTTTCTGTGAGTTTTGAGCAAGTCGAAAAGAGCATGGGCAGTATCGCCGATGTACTGATAGTTGTCTTCCTCAATACGCTTATCGACTAGCGTGGAGAGATGGGCAAAGGTGCACCGTGCTAGGAGGTAGTATAGTCTGTGAATCAACTGGCTCGTCTGGAAACAATTCTGTAAACCATCGTCACACAGCTGGTACACGAGTGGAGCGCTGAATCGAACACGGTGGACTAGCTCAAGCCCATCGGTACAGAAGTTGGCGCATTCCACGATATTTCCCTGATTCCAAGAGGTTTCGGAATTGCTAGCATGTCTTTCGATGTGAGCTTGGAATAAAGCGAGACTGATAGACGGATCCTTGGATACTTGCTGGACAACTTCTGCAGCTAGTGCTTCTTCATCGCAATTTTTAATCTCAAAATTGTCGTAAGCGCGAAAAGTGTTTCCTATACACTTCAGAAGCTTCTTCTGGTCGATGGCTGAGTGGGAGTTCCGTAGATTCATGTAGCTGGTCTCCCTGTCGTACCCTCCCCTCTTGGGATTGAGCTCCACCACTACCTTTATTGGTAGTCGCATAGCAAGCAATCTTCCATTTGGGTCAGGCAGCTTTTCATCGGTAACGCGAAGTCCAAATCTCTGGAGTATATTCATACAGTCTTCCAATAACATGACAATCTCGGTATACTCGCCATTCATCGCCATATCTCCTGTCATATTATTTTTGCTGTCTAGTCTTATACGCATGGTGTGCCACGGGTATGATTCCGAACGCATCTGCTCTCGTTCATTGTGGTAAGCGGAATACAGAACAAATGCTGGCGGTAAATGGCCGTGTATCATTGAGCATTCGTTCACGGAGTCGTGGATTTGAACAACAACAAACAGATTTTTCTCCGACATAATCTTGTAGCCTTCATTGTGGATTTGTTTATTCGCAAGCAAGAGGTTGAGGTTCCCAGTGAAATGGCACAGTTGCACATCTGTCCGTGAGCACAGGCCTGCACACTGTGTAATATCATACGGGCCACGGCGCTGGCTGAAAGAACAAAGTGTATATTCATAGACTGCATCTCGGATCTCGCGAGGTATTCCAAGGAAGTTGAAGTGTTGGTAGGGCTCAGGCATGGCTGAAGAGGTGCGTGTAGCTAGAAACTTGTGACGTCCGCAATAGCGACGCGATTTTCAGGATTTGCAGAAAGGTGGGCGTCTTGTGAGAGTCGGCGTCATATGGCTTTTTTAAACACTAGAATAATGTTGACGTAGATACTAACCCTTAGCATATAGCAAAAGTCAGCGCGTAAAGTAAACGTGCCCGTACCCCGCACTGATGCGAGGTCAGACGAAGCGGAAGCCATCCAATCAACCACAGAGCACAAAGAGCATTGATGCAGGAAACTTTAGTGGACAGTTATTGGAGGCAGTTAGTCACGACATAAGCAGGAATCCAATTATGGTCTCAATAATCCCCCTTCCTGATCCCATCACCATGCAAAACGCACATTTCACATATCTTGCTATGACATTGCCAACCTGCCAGCTGGATTGGCACGGAACAGTATTGAACAATGGATTCAAAACAACAGATACGCTGTAAACAGACCAGCAACCCATATGTAGCCGATGACCTGCCCAATATGCGTCCGTATCCACTTCTTTCCGCTTCCCTATACCACCATAGCACTCCCACCATGTCCACATATCAATAGTGTCGAATTGGAAGCCTCCTTGAGTACATCCCAATTTACCAATGCAAATATGAGGTGCTACATGATGCTCATGGTCATAAGCTTCCAGTTCTCTAAATGAATACTTGTTGCCAATACGCCATTCTTGCATGGTCGTCTGAAACTCAATCTGGATAAAGTGACGATCATATGGTACCCAAGTTAAGGACTAATGGCATGCAGACCTAGGGTGTTTTGCTGGCGATTTTGATATCATCCATGACTCTTCGAAAGACAAAACAAACTTGTGTTTGATGTTTCTTAAGAAATCGCATTATGCTTAGCTGGATTCAGTGGCCGTGATGTGATCTTGCCAGTGGCAGCCACGCTAACTGTTTTTGGTAAGGCCCTTGGCAGTCGCGCTGTGGTCCAACGCGCCAAAGATTCCAGACATCAACCCCAGCTTTCGCGCCCGCTGCATCAACACCCCAACTCGAATTGATCGACGCGGCACTGCTGTCGCCTTACCTCAGTCATCATGTACGGCATGAATCAGGCCTACCATGCCCCCGACCCGAGTGCGCAGGTCCCAAATCACCTGGTGTGTCTTGCCAAAGCTCCGCGACCGTCTTGCCCAACTAACAGGACAGCTTGCCCATGTTCATCTGATATCGTCGTACCGCTTCCCGACCTTGCCTGGACTACAAGCCGCCCAGGCCCTTGAGTATCTCATCAAAGGCCCGCAGATTGTGCGCGACACCTCGCCCGTTGCGTGGACGTTTCTGGCAGCCCCCCCGCCAGATGGCACCGTTATCCTCACCTGGCAGCCCCCGCGCATGGGAAACATGTTCGCGTCGGATGGAATGGTCTGGGCTGATGCCGAGAGCGCATACGACATGAATGTGCGCGGCTATGTACGTGTGCCCGAGGTGTACTGATATTGCAACATCTAATGTCGTCTAGACCCTCCAAGTTTTTGTACATAACAGCGGCTACCACTACCCACATGAGCCATATGCGATGCACGCGCGCCACCGCTACAGGATAGCTGCCGGACCTGGTACCATTGATCCTAACCTCTGGCTGGTCCACTATAAGCCTGCAGACCCGCAAAACAGGATTCCGGCCTCTCAAATCCCCATACCGCGCGATGTGCAGACCCAACTACAAACGCGCGCTCAGTTACAGCAAGCAGGACCATTGATGCGCAAGGAGTTTATGTTGGTTGACCAGGCCAACTGGCCCAAGGTCGAGTTCGGACAACAAGCCATGAGGGGCCCGCAGCCCTACTACAACCCGATGCAGCCAGGCCGACCGTATGCTGCGCATCCGCCTCCAGCCAAACGCCAACGGTTGCCGACACAGCCCCCGCCTCGCCAGCCGGCGCCGGGCGCAATCATACCGGATAACACACTTGACGAAGAGGAGAATGCGACACAAGATGCGTTTGACTTTTTAACGCCACGGGAAATCAGCCTGTCGCGATACAAGCAACATCACGAATGGATGGAGGAGATTTTCTCGTCACCGTATGCGATTGGAAAGATTGCACCGATTGATCTTGGACTGGGTCTTATGGGAGAATTGGCTCCACTCACTGCGGGCATTCTGGACGCTCCGGGGGCGGAGAACGTAGAGACGGGGAGGGAAAACTACAAGATCAAGAATTACTACAAGCTGGATGCTGAGCAGCTCAAGGACTTTGAGAAGCGTGTAGCCGAATACACGACGAATGAGCAAGGCGAGATTGATAAGATGAAGGCCAACCATGCGAAGAAGATTGCGCAATTGAAGCGCACGCGGACATATATCAAGGCCGAGCGACGATTACGAGAACTATCACGCTCTGGGGAGAGCGAGGGTGAGGGTGTGAATGCAGTGGAGGAAGTTGTAGAGGAGCTGCAAAAGTCGCTGGGGGTGACGTTTGAGGCGAAGAAGGCTGTTGTGTGCGTAGACAAGGGTGGGTTCATGGAGGTGCAGCAACCATCGCCTCCCAAGCCGCAGGTGAATGGGGATGGTGGTGAGCAGAGTGCGAATGGAACATCAACGGGAGGCAACAACGAGGGAGCGATGGAGGAAGATTCTGCAGCAGGACTCCTTGATCAATATGGATCCGGATCGATATCTGGAACGCCTATTGGGAACATTTCACTGCCGCGACTGTCGCAACCTCCGAGCCAGTCGCAATCGGCGAACGGGACACCCAACGCACCTCACGGCAACATGAACCAGGGGACAACGTTTGATCAACAAGACAGCAACCTGGATGTGGGGGCGGACCTACTTGACTTGGACGTGGAGATGTCTGGCATGGCGGGGGCCGGGGACAAGGGCGATGAGTGGGTGATGGTGAATGATCAAGCAGGAAACGGACAAGCAAGCGGCAACGCCGAGCAAGCCAGCACGAATAATAGCAACAACCAAGCAAGCAACAATGGGGGTGCAGGTGGTGCAAGTGGTACAGCAGCAGGTGGTGGTGGTGGTGGTGGGGGTAGTGGGATTGCAGCAACCAACCTGGAGGCGGATGCAGGCAGCATGTTTGACGGAGCGGATTTTGGAAGCTTCGACAACCTGGACAGTGCGGGGGATGCTCTGGCGGACTATGGACATGACGACAATCTTGGGCTGGATCTAGTTGATGACAGTGCATTTGGCGATGCGTTCCATGGGACGGAGATGCACAATGACAACGGCGAAGGCGAGAATGCCTAGGACGCGTTCTGGAGGTAGGCGGGTGTCCACAGTGCTGCTATTTGGGGAATGTGGAATGATTGGGTTGTACTATTATTGCTACGTTTCATGCCCGAGAGGGAAAGGCAGAGTGCACAAAGAGAGGGAGGGAGGGAGAGAGAGAGAGAGGACGAGTGGCGTAGAGGGCGTTTTTTCTTGCAGCCAAGGGTTCCTTTCTGGCTCGTGTATGGTGTCGTGTATGGGATACGATGGATTATACATTGGGCCTTTTGCAATTTATTCGATACGAGTTGTATGTTGTTATTTTGTTACTACTGTTCTTGTCGACGATTGCTGTGTTGCTGTGAAATGTGCAAGATGCAGAGTTGAGGGGTTTTGACAAAATGTGGGGAAAACAGAGGGAGCGAAGTGGGTGTGATGATAGAGTAGTACTTTGTAAATTTAGCCAAACGATTATGATCTTCGCTTGTCCCCATCTGGCACCCCCCTTTTTTCATACTACTTACTATTCAATAGCGGATCGTGATTATTAGGCGTGCTGTCCCATGGATAACAAGAGGCGCGCGCGCGGGCGGAGTGACTGACTGGAGACGGAAGGTAGTATACTTTCCCATTTTGTCTCGTCTCGTCTCGTCGCTATCTCGTATTCTTTCCTAGGCCCGGTAACACGGCTTACATACATATACGTTAGCAGCAATGGCGAGACGCCGTAATTTTTCGGGGGGACCCAAAACAGCCAAGCAAGGCCAAGCAGGCCAGGCGACGATCAAGATGGCGACATGGGGGATTGCCTGACCAAGTTGAAACGGCATTACCTTGATGTGCTGGGTAGCTTTTGCAGCGGGGGAGGTTTTGTGGACAAGTGAGGGGGCAGGGTCTCACACAGACGGCAGACGGCAGCCCCTGACTTCAGGGGGTCGTTTTGGTATCGGGTAGAGCGGAGGTCCGCGTCAGCGCGCCAAGCAGGTGAGCGTTATCCCGCTTGGGCGCGTCCTAGTGGCGTAGCGGCACTGCATTTCGCCTAGCACGGTGGCGTCAAGGGAACACGGGGATTGCGTGTGTTCAGAGGGGACGGCATTTTTTCCCTCTCTTCGTCGTGTTTGGAGCCGTTTGATGAGTGAGGATGACTAGTCTTGTGCCGGTCTGTTTGGGCGCAGAGGCGGAGCGGCAGGTGGGCGGAGGGCGCGTCGTGGTGGAGTAGAGGAGGAGGCGCCTTGTAGGCAATAACGTATATACTTGTACCTATACTATACACATGTCAGCAAGTAAGTATAGATGCGTATAAAGGGCAAGATGGCAACACGCGCTCGGCAGTAGCACCGGCCATGTAGACGGATATGTAAGGCATGCTTTGGATGCACATGGACAAGCATCGACGGGACCCGCCGTCAAGTCGTTGGATTGCTTGGGAGAGGCATGGGCAAGAGAGCTTAGCAGCCGCCTTCCCGAGGCTCCTGCTTGGCAGACGGCCCACGGCACACGCATTGCCCAGTGAGGCGCGTCTATCTGGCGCAGGGCACGCGTTCCTGGCACGACCTGTAGTAAGTAGCCCCTCCCGCCGTGCTTCAGGCCCAGGGTCGTCTGCTGCGCCAGAAGCGACTCGTGGACTCCATCCCATCCCGCTAGCCACGCCTACGACACCATCACCACCACCACCCTCTCTTCTGTCTTTTCCTTTCTTTCCCTATCCACCCCCCTTCCCCGCCCCAGTCCTCTGCCGTCTGCCGCCCTTCTTCCCTCTTCCCCCGCTTCATTCTCACATACACGGTCGCCCTTGGTTCCTTTTTTCCTTGCTTCTTCTCGCCTGCTCTTTTTTGGCTGCTTCTACGACATACTACTTGCATACACACATCCACCCACACTTGGACTCGAGTGGGCATACCGCCCTCTTCTTACCCCGGAACCTCGCACTGCATCGGCAATGCGCTCGACTCTGTCCTATCGTTCCTGAGCCCTGCATTCATTACACAACATCGCTTCTTCACGCACGCACGCACGCACGCACGCATACGCTACCACATCCATACACGCACCCTCTCTCACTTATACCCTGCATCGCTGCTTGCGTAACCACACACTCTCACAATGCCTCCTCGCGACGCCAACTGGGTAGATGCAAGTTACACCCGCCCCACACAGCCGTTTTTTAAAAATCCCATATGGACTAACATTGCGTCCTATAGGGCCTCCGAGGTATAGCATCCTTCATGGTTGTATGCGGTCATCTCTGCACCGCCTTTGTACCCTGGCTCCACCAGCCAGCCACCGACACAAAAACCGCTCCCCACCTGTTCCAATTACCCTTTTTCCGCCTCGCTGTCGGCGGTCGCAGCGCCGTCGCCATCTTCTTCCTCGTCACCGGCTATGTCAACTCGATTGGTGCCATTTCAAAGTCGCGCGCCGGCAACTACGAGGCAGCGTTTCACGGCATCGCCCGTAGTGCCTTGGCCCGCTCCGGACGATTGATCCTGCCTACCATGGTCGCTACCACAATCAGCTGGCTCCTGGCCCAGACAAACGCATACCACATGACCAAGCACGTTGACGCCCAATGGATACGACAGGGCTGGCATCGCCAGGAACCCTCACTGTGGATGGCGCTCAAGTCTCTGTTCAAGGCTCAGACGGAGACGTGGGTAGTCGGTTGGGACGAATACGACGGAACACAATGGACCCTGCATCTCTTCCTCGAGGGCGCATTCATTGTATACACGACCATGTTCGCCACGGTCCTCGTCAGGCCCAAGGCGCGTTTTCTCATTTACGCAGTCTTGTATGCCTACTTTTGGCAAGTAGGAAAGGGTAAGCTTGCATTTCCGACGAGCGCTGACGCCAGGCCAATTGCTGACTGCAACAGAACTCATCATCGGTTCCATCAAGGGCCTGAATATTGTCACGGGCATGTTCCTTGCCGAGCTACACAACCACTTCAAAGACTCGGCTACTTCGGTTCTACCTGCGCCGATTCCTGCCATGATGATTGTATTCGGCATGTTCATGGCCGGATTTCCCCAAGACTCTTTCGAAAACACACGCTGGTCTGAGACAATGGCCACAATTATGCACACCCTCACAAGCGAGAAGACGGATATCCGACGTTACTGGGATCACCTGGGAGCCGCCACTATCCTCATGGGCGTCTTCTTTTCGAAAAACGCACGCAAAGTGCTTACCTCGCCTGTCTTCAACTTCCTCGGTCGTGTCAGCTTCCCCGTCTACCTGATCCACAACACACTCATCAAGACGGTTTTGACCTGGATGATTTACCTGCCCTCGGCCATGAATCCACCAAAAAACGAAAAGGGAGAAATGCAAGATCTCCAGCGTGGATCTATTCCTCATATCCTCATTGCCATTGCCATCTTCTACTACATCCTGTATCGCTGCGCCTCGCTATGGGTCAAGTACGTCGATCCAATTTGCGCAAACCTTACCAACGCCGCCACAAAATGGGCCTATGGTGAATCACAGCCAAAAGAAATCCGGCCGATACTGGCAAACGGAGCCACGACGGACAAGTCTGTGCTTCCTTCGTAGTTTTCGTTCTATTATCTTTTCAAAAAAAACTTGATTTCATATCCTTTTTTTTCCGACGTTAGTCCGTCACTCAACTGCTCATCCAGCGTCTTGATTCCTTATGCCGTATATTTTTTCTTCTTCCTTCTTTTCACTGTATATTCTCATCTTCTTTTCACATCACAGCAAATCTTCTAGCATCACTTCTTTGCACATCATGTCGCCGGGAATTTTTACTTTTTAACGAGTAAGAGAAAAACAAAAACGAGGGCTTCTCTTGTTGTATACTTTACACTCCATTTTGGTGGCACATTTGGGCTTGTGTTGGATATTTGTGGAATATGTTGCATTTTGGAGCGTTTTCTTTTTGGTTTCTTCTTTTTTGTTTTATTGAAAGGATGAGTGGAGAGGCAAAGGACTTGTGCAAAAAATTGCCCAAATCAGTCCCATGGGGAGGTTGTACATGTTGACTGCCGTTTCTTTTGTTTTCCTTCTCTGTTTTTTTTTTGCAAATAGATGACGTTTAACGAAGCGGATCAATAAAAAAATGTTCAAACTTAATGGTACGACTGGATTTGGTGCTGAGTGAGTGAAGATTTGGTCTCTATGCTATATTAGGACTTTGGATACAAGTTGATGAAAAGGAGACAAAGGAGTAACAATGTCTTGACCTGGGATAATTATCATATCGTATCATTACCATTCTACCTATAATTCCTAGCCAAAGAAAACTCTTTCAATCATACAATTACAAAGCGAGTGGCATTATAGACGGCGAGGAGAGGGGGAGTAGGGTATCAACAAGACCTGGCAGTAAACCAAAAATCAAAAAAAAGAAAGGAGAAAAGTCACAACCACCGTATCACTTTACATGTTCTCGACGACATGAGCGTTAATAGCGCTCTGGAACCCCTGGTCATTACTTCCGTACTCGTGGGCGGCAGAAGATTGGAACCCATGGGCACTGGGACCCTGGCCCGCGGCTTCAGCCTGTGCAAGTGCGCTCTGCACCGTTTGGTTCTGAGCCGGGAGGAAGATGACTTTGGAGTTTGCAGACTTGGCCATGGACTGCATGGCCTCGAGGTAGCGGATTTGCATAGCAGGAGCGGAAGAAAGGATGTCAGCCTGTCTTGGAGTCAGTATCCACAGTTCACATCCTAGTAGTGTATATAACATGTAGTTATAGTAAAAAAAAAAAACAGAACAAGGGGGGAAAGAAAACATACCGCCTGCCTCATCAACTTGGCCGCCTCGACCTCTGCCCTCGCAGCAATAACCTTGGCCTCACCCGTCCTCTTGCTCTGCGCGGCCATGGACAGCGAATCCTGCAGATCCTGACTAAAGATGATATCTTTAACAAGCATCGACTCGACCTCGACGCCCCAGCCCAGGGCCGTCTCCTCGATGATTTCACGGATCGACTGCGCAATCTCCTCGCGCCGCTCAATCACATCCTGCAACACGCGCGCGCCCACGACATGCCTCAGCGTCGTCTGGGTGCGCTCGACGAGCGCCTGGCGAATATTACTGATGCTAAACGCCGCCTTGTGCGGCGAGGTGATACGGTAGTAAATCACCGACGTCAGCTGCAGCGACACATTGTCCTTGGTCATGCAGACTTGCTTGGGGACTTCGACAATCTGGATCTTGATGTCCACTTGCACCAGGTGCTCCGACAGCGGGTTCACGTACACGAGACCCGGATCGACGGCGCGGGCGAAGCGTCCGAACTTTGTGACGAGCCCGACGTTGCCTTGGTTGACGGGTTTGTAGGGGTTCGGGCACACGACGCAGCAGGGGATTGCGCCGCAAGTGCCGATTAGATTGCCGAGAGTGTTGATCTGGAGGGGATGGGCGTCAGTCACGTGACTTGATGTGTATAGTTGTAGTATGGAAAGGACTACAGTGTTGGGGGGGGGGGGTGTGATGAGGAGAAGATAAACTTACCATACTGCCATACCATCCGTTTGTATCGGCGTCTGCATCGTCGGGCTGGATAACACGGGCATAGCTGGGCTGAAGATCTTCTCGTCGCGGTGGCTGAACCTTGATAATAGGCTCGTGGACACTCGATGTTCCGTTGCTTGCACCTAGCATGGGAGCCTTGCCATTAGTGTCGCTCATGTTTGCTGGATGATTTCCGTTGCTCGATAGAATGGGCTTTGTAGAGGAGATGGAGCCTGCAGTGTGAGAGGACATCTCTTCAACGTGGCACGCAGGATATGGTTAGTTTATATGCGCAATCAACTGAGCAACCCGTATTCACGCTTTGAGAAAGCGGGGAAGCTAGCTTAGCCTGAGCATGTGCGCTAGCTGGGCCGCCTTCTTCTTGGGGCTGTGCTACATCTTTCTCTCTCCACGGGACATGGTAGATGCGGATGGAGGCATACGGTTTATTGATGATCCAAGTTGTCATGTGGTAACCTTTTGACATATGCGACTTTGTCTACTGGCCCAAACTCCATCTTGAACACTACCATCTTCAATCCTGCAACCCCACATCCCACTTCATTTCTACATCACCATTGTCCCGAATACTCCTCTGCGGCATTTCCAACCCTCACCGAAAGACAAAATTCCTATTCGCCTCCAAGGCCTCCTACACACAGACACCCGGCTAACTCGGTGCCACACCCATCCACTCATGACGTGCAGAACAAGACTCCCAAGGCACACTCGGCACACTCCAACCGACCACCGCAAAACCCGCCACACGCCCTACAATATCTTCGACGTCAGCAACAAGAAAGTGCTGGGGTCACGTATCACTTCATTACAGCCTTCTACTCTCTCTACCTCGGCGCCGAGTACAGATATGTATTGGCGCATGACTGGGGTACATATGCAGCCCTGTCCTGCCGGTGGGGCGTCCATGTGGCGAAGGGAGAGAGAGATAAGACCCTTGTCTCCCCAGACCCAAATGCCCCTCGGGGCCTTTTTGTCTCCGTTTGCCTGGAAATCCCCTAAGCGCGCATCGCCACACATCTGCAACAATTGCTGAGGCGCGGTAGTATTACCAAAGCGTTGGTGGAGGCTTCCAGTGGCACAGTTCCCCTCCTAGCAAACCCCATCTCTTTTGCCATTCTTCTTTTTTTTTATATATGCGCGCAGTTGAGCATCGCAGTACATGCGTCTGCATGAGCGTCTAACGCTGCATAACAATGACCATGTGACATACTTACACCCATCACACACACACCTCAAGCCCTTAGTTTTTTTTCTTTCTACCCGATCAAAAAACCTTTCGTATATCTCGCATACTCGGCTCCTGAGTACTCGGGTCCGGCGAACGCGCCCAGTCGCCAAACATTTTTCGGCGTTGCTCTGGCCAACAAGCGTGCAACTGCGCCTCGGAGCGAACTTATTCCCTCCCCATCATCTTGCCCTGAAAGTGATATACCGGTGAGAAAAGAAAGTGAGGGTGCCTTAATGCCTCAATCTTTCAGGCTTTGGCGATCGTAACATAGCCTTGATTAGGCCTCCCCCCCTCCCCTACTGCCTTCAATCTTCCAAATGTCTTCCATCATAGTCAGCCTTCCCCTTTGCCGTCTTCTAGAAAAAAACCATCCTTTATTTAGGTTGGACTCAGGACCGCTGGCTGATGTTGGTCTGACTTACCGCGCACATACCTATTTCCTAGCCGTATACATATAAAGCGTGGGTCTCCACTTGCTCTAATCTGCTACGCCGCACGCTGCGCCATAGACACGGTATTGGGCCAAGATTTCGTATTCTATGGAACTTTTTGACGCGCCGCGACATGGGGGAGGGCGCCTCAGGATTTTTGTTTAAGCGCCCTGTTGGAAGAACTAACGCGACTACCAGGTTGTGCTGCGCTTGGTTGCGGCGTGGAGAGATTGTAAAAAAAAAAAAGGCATATGGGCTTTCTGATTGGCAGTAGCACGAAAGTGGGCAAACTACGATTACCCTGGGAAAGTGAAGAGACAACAAAGGCTGGCCTGAAACTACTCCTAAATAGCATATACGGGGGCTACTGGATAGCTAAGTATGGGCCCACACCACATAATCGTACAATGACCGTCGCCCAATTGTCACGTCTACTCAAACCCAAAAAAACAAACACCCATTTCCAACCATGCAAGAATAACGCAACCCTAACCAAAACGCCCTTGAAATGACAATATCCAATTTCTGCATAGTGATATCGGCTGCAACATAGATTCCGTGTAACCCAACACCAGACAAGTTACTTGAGAATACTCGCCCCCCTTCGATCCTTCTTCAGCGGCGAAAACGTAAACGCTTCTTCACTCATCATGTTGAACCCACCAGAAATAGGTCGTTGCTGACCTTGTTTGCCCAACACGCTCTTGCCCAATGCGCGAGCCGCGAAAAGACCTTTGCTGATGCCCACAGGCTTCAGAGGCGCAGCGTCTTCGCCGTCCTCAGCGTCGAATAGTGTCTTACCAGCACTAGCACCCAGCTTGCGCTTCTTCTTCTTTTCCGCCGCTGGCTCCTCGGCAAACGTGGCAAACGACATGAGAGACTTGCGAGGCTTGATCTTAGGGGCTCCGCTGCTCTTCTTCGAGGGCCCGTCGTTGTCCTTGAGCGGAATAGACACGCGTGCGTTTTCAGACTCTTCCTTGGATGTGTTGTGTGAGATTTCAGAAACCTCCTCCGTGACCATTTCCAGGGCAGGAGCAGGGTTCTTCTTGCGAGGCTTTGCATTGGCCTTGTTCGACGCAGCTGGGGCCAGAGCTTTGACCTTGGGCTGAGCAGTCTTTGAGGCCTTCTTGGGCGGTGCTGTAGGAGTGGCTTGCTCCTGGACGGCCTCTTCCTCCGCTTCTTCATCATCTTCTGCTTCGTCCTCCTCAACAATGGGGCTGGCAGCTGTTACGTTACCAGCACGGTTGAGGAATGGTGTCAAAGAAAAGGTCGACGTGTCGCCAACTGCAGACACTGAAGTGCCGCGCTTCGCCTTCTTCGCAGGGAAGCCGTCTCCTGGCGTACCTAGCATCGTCTCGGGTTCGGCAGTAGCAGCCACACGTTTCCGGGCGTTCTTTACGGCGGCTTTGGCAGCAACTGCCGGCTTGCTCTTAGCGGGCGGTGCTGTCTGCGCCCTCTCTGCTCTTTCAAGCTCAGCCTCCTTCTCCTTGAGCTTCTCCTTGGTCGACCGTAGCTTTTCGCGGAAAGCACTCAACTTGTCATCAAGGACAGTGTTTCGGCCCTGAAGCTCTGCCAGTGTCTTGCTGAACTCCTTCTCTTGCTTCTTACGCTCACGTTTCTCTTCTTCGAGTTCTTTCCGTACAGCCTCAACCTGGGTGTCTGTCGATTGTGAGCCTTGCTTGGACGCCTTCTCGACCTTTCGACGCTCGCGCTTCTCCTGCTCTAGCTCTTGACGTAGCTGTTCAATCTCGGCATCACGGTCTCCATTATTCTTGCTAGCCTTCTCTGCTCGCAAACGTGCAGTCCTCTCTTGCTCCAACTCCTGGCGCAGTTCTTCAATTGCAGCATCATGAGCCTCATCGCGCTTGCTGGCCTTGCTGGCCTCCTTCTTTGACAGCTTCTCGACCTTGGCCTGTAGTTGTTCCGTTGACTTTTGTTGCGATTCGAGATCAGCATGTACCTTCTCCATTGCCTTTTCAGCCTTTGCGAGCCCAGCTTCTGCCTTCATCCGTTCCTTCTTCTCGGTGGCGAGTTCCTGGCGCACCTCTTCCAACTCGCCACGCAACTCCTCATCCTGCTCCATCTTCTTTCCTTGCTTCGCTAGTGCACGTGCGGCAGTGCGTTTCTCGTTCTCGAGCTCAGCTTGGAGTGTGGTCAGCTGACGTTGCAGGGCCAGCTTCTCAGTGAGCAGGCCTGTGTTTGATTCGACTTGGGCGCGTAGGTGTTCGACTTCAGGGCGTAGTGATGAGATTTCGCGAGACAGGGCGAGTTTGTCGGAGAGGATCTTGTTGGAATCGGAGGTTACGTTCTCCATGGCTTTCAGTTCGGCCTAGTCATTGTTAGCGGCGCTTTGGCCGGTGTGCTTGACGTGCTCACCTTGAGATTCGCGATCTCCCGCGCTTGGGTGCGGACTGTGTTTTGTGCAGCTTCGCCCTCGGCCCGTTGCTCATCCAACTGTGCGAGGGCATCGTCGAGGGCGCTGTCCAGTTCGTCTGCACGACCTTGCTCTTCTTCGAGTTGTTCGTGAAGGTCGCTGTTTTCGTCCTGCAGGAGGCACTGGGCAACTCGCAGCTTCCGAATCTCTTCGTCCTTGGCTACAATCTCGACCGAATGTTTACTCCTTTCAAGGCTGAGTTCTAAGTTTGCGTTTCGCAGCGCATGTTGAAGCTGAGAAGGGGGGGAGTTAGTTGGGGGGAGTCGGAAGCAACGGTCCAGTTCTCTTGTACTTACATCTTTCATCTCATAATTGCTATCGATGTCTGCGTCTATGGTTGCGACCATGATGTAATATCTGCTTTGTGGTGTGAAGGGGTGTAGAATTGATGGTGGTGGGGTTTGCGGCCGACGCGACTTGGGTAAACAAACAGAGCGCCGAGAAGTACGGACCGAGTCGTAGTAGCGCGACGGGATGAAAGAGTAGGACAATATGAGAAATGAATGAAGATACAGGTCGCTGTACAGGCACAGTGTTTTCAGGATGCCCCTCGCATTCACTTGTCCCCAGTCACTGCTTAATCGGAGCCTTGTTCACAATGGCAACGGGTGTTTGTCCCCATGGAGGGCTGCAGCGGCGGCAAGTCGCGCACATCCCTGCCCGCCCTAGCGCCATTACGCAGGCCCGCAAGCTCCGACAGCCGTCAAGGCCACGTTCCCAAGCATTGTCTACTCGAACAAACGCCTTCCAGCAACAACCATCCACCCCACCCGCCAGACGACACAATGCGGTGGTTCACGCTCCTCACAGCCTCGCTGCTGCCCTTTGTAGCCCTCGCAGCCAAGAAGCCCGCAGGTGACCGCTTCAATGACGCCCGCGCCAAATCGCTGTCAACCGGCCGCCCACTCAAGCTCAACGATGCTAGCTATGCTCAACTGACAAAGTCGCCGAGAGACTACGGTGTTGCTGTGCTTCTCACCGCATTGGAGCCTAGGTTCGGATGTGCGCTCTGCAGGAGCTTCCAGCCAGAATGGGACCTGCTGGGTAGTAGCTGGACAAAGGGAGACAAAGATGGCCAGTCCAGACTTGTCTTTGGTACCTTGGACTTTGTCGATGGAAAGAATGTCTTTCAATCGGTATGGAATTCCACTACGCCCATCTCATACTTCTATGGAAACTGACTATACGTGTAGATGCAACTTCAAACCGCACCCGTCCTGCTCTACTTCCACCCAACCGCCGGCCCCCACGCAAAAGTCGACTCACAACCCTCCCGCTTCGACTTCACCGGCGGTCCTCAAACCGCTGAACAAATCCACGCCTGGGTCGCCCGCCAAGTCCCCGATGGCCTTCCCAAACCCTCCGTAGCCCGCCCCATCAACTGGGTCAGGGTCATCACCATAACCACCTCCGTCCTCGGTGGCATCACCGCTATCTTTGTTGCCTCGCCATACGTCATCCCCCTGCTCCAGAACCGCAATCTCTGGGCTGCCGTCAGTCTGATTGCCGTGCTGCTCTTCACCAGTGGCCACATGTTTAACCATATCCGCAAGACGCCCTACGTCGTCGGTGATAACAAAGGTGGCATCAATTACTTTGCAGGCGGCTTCAGCAACCAGTATGGTCTCGAATCGCAGATTGTTGCTGCCATCTATGGTGTCCTTGCTTTTGCCGCTATTTCGCTGGCCGTCAAGGTCCCCAGGATCCAGGATGTGCGCGCTCAGTCGCTGGCCGTCTTCTTGTGGACCGGTGTCTTGTTTGGCATGTACAGCTTCCTCATGAGCGTCTTCCGTGTCAAGAATCCTTCGTACCCTTTTTGGCTGCCTCCATTTTAAGACTCATTCTGCTTGACCAGTGAAGGACCGTGTACAATCTTGGGGATATCGCCTCCCCTTAAAAAATGGAGGTTGGGTTTTTGTTTTAACTTTTTGCGAGTAGATGGTTATTGCTGTTGTTAAAACACTTGATGAAACACCAAAGCTTGCGGTTCGAGCATGGTGTACATTGTATGATAGTTAGGGTTCTCAATGCCGTAGACTAAGAATATGAAAAAAAGGACTTGTTCGCGCCAAATTACACAAACAGCTCCCCGATGCCATCTTGACGTGTTTGTACATCATCGGACTTGTGTTGACTGATGCAATTGTTACAATGACCAGCTTGCATTCTGATTAGAATAATTATGTATTCTCGTAGCCATCATGATGATGTGTAAACCATTACCCCGTGAACCCATCTCCTGAAGACCATAACCCCATAACGCGCTTGCTCGGAACAAAACCCATTTGGATTAGAAAAAAGTATACCACAAAACCATGATTTCGAACTTGACCCATACTAGAATAGCCATTTTGTCGAAAGTGCAAATCAGTCGTCTGCTAGAATAGAAAGTGTTTAGGAAAATGCCATGGCATGGAGGTCGAAGACATCATTCCTCCAACCGCCTTCGTCCCAATCATCGATGCGCTCTGGTGCACGACGACCCTCTTCCTCCCACAGCTTGGCCACGCTGCCTGGTGCATACTTGCCAGCGAAGACACCCTTCTTCGGTGCGTCAACACCAACCCTCGTATAAAGGTCGGGGTCATCAGCCGGTGTGAGACGTGTGATGACGGCCTTGACAAACGTCTTCAGGTCATCTGGATCAGAGATCCTCGTCGCTCGAAGCCTCTCGCGTGCAAAGATGAGCTCACGGTTGGCGGCATGGATAGCATCAGCAATACCTTGGGCCATCTGCCTCTCCATGACCTTGCGGACAACGGGGCGCAGCAGCGGCTTGAGGAGCCAGCCAAATAGGCTGAACTTGGACTTGCGCAGCGTGTACGAAAGCTTGTGGATGTGGACACGGACGGCCTTGAGCGTGAGAATTTGCTCCAACTTCTCTTTTCCGACTTCGACATCCAAATGAATATCGATACCTCGCTCGTCGAGTTGGAACGAAGCAATACCTTCATCTGCAAGGCGAAGAAGGCCAGAGTGTGCGCGGAGAAGGAAACCGACCTCATCTGCTCGGAACGAAAGACCATCAATCTTGATGGTAAACTTGGAAGTAGCCTTGGACGCAACACGGAAGCGGGCCTTGCGAAGTTCGAAATCGTTGTAGGTTTCTACTCGGAAGCGGAACGGGAGGAACGATGTGTGGTTCACAGTCTTGCCAGGTTCGATAATCAAGTTCTCCAGGAGCATATCGATTTCGGGTGTGGATACTTCCAGACGAGGAATGGGGATGTACTGAATAGCCTGGATGGCAAGAGGGACGAAAACATTGATTGCATCTTGAACGAGCTCGCCGTTGATGTTGCTGTGTAAGGGGGATAGTATGTTCCAGATTTTCATCGTCGTGTTGATCATTTTCGCAATGTCCTGGTCCTGGGTGACAGCCATGAAGGTGCTCTGGGCTTGTACGAAAAACGCGTCTACGTCCTGGCGAAGCGATGATTCCGATCCAACACCATTGGCCTTCTTTCGAAGCTCTTGGAACTTTTCGTCGACGTGGTCAAAGAAGTCGGGGTCTGTGAGAAGTTTCTGCAGCGAGTTTCCAATGTCGATCAGCAAATCCTCAAATTCAGGATCTTTGCGCGAGTGCTCCAAAACCTTATGGAATACATCCTCGAGCTTTTTCCACTCTTCTTTGTCACCAAAAGAGCTCAGGAAGGTCCAGAAGTTCTTAACAGCCCTCTCCATCTCTCGGTTTGGCTCGACGTCAGCTTCGAGAGTACCCATAGCATCTTCTACGGTCCGAGAGTATGCCATTGCATACCGCTTCAATAGCGTTGCGAGCACTGAAACCGAGTCGTTGTAATCCCTCTTTTGCCTCAGGTTTGTGATTGTCTTCTTCAGGCGGTACAAGAGTGATTCACCCTCATCACCCTGAAGCTTCTCGGCCAAGCTTACGTCTGCCCTCTTAGCAACCTTGGCAACGCCATTGCCAATGACTTGGGCGACCTCAGCAAGCTGATCATTCATCTCTTCAGTGGAGTGTGCGAGAGCCTCATCCGCACCGGGTTCCTTGAGTGCCTTTTGTTCTTTTGGTGAAGGCTCGATCTTCTTGGCTGCCTTCTTGGATACGTTTGACAGTGTGAAAGCAGTATCTCTGAACACTTCCCGGCCGACAGTGTTCAGGTCAGCGAGGAAGATGCGAAAGTCGGAATTGGTTAGGAGCAAGGACCCGACAGTCTGCAGACTGTGATAGGCTGCTGATATGTTAGCTCCACCCCATGAGACAAAGGATAAGTACTGACCTGCAGTAGCATCGGCCTTTGCTTTTGACCTGGTCGCCCTTCGTGCAATATCTTCCACATCTACGGATACCCTGGACTTGGAAAGATACCAGAGGAAATCTTGGATTTGGTCCTTGCTGTTCTTGTGGTTCAGAGTGTCAATGAATTGGTGTAGCCATTGCTTGGTAAACTTGACCAGGAGACGGCCAGAGTCGCTCAGGTCGGGGTTTTCTGGGTTCAGGATGTCTGCAGATAGCAAGCTCCGGAGGTTGATGACAAGTTGTTCATTAGATGGCATGAAACCCATGGAAAGTGCACGTATCATCTGATACGAGTGTAACTTCTGGTGCACCTCTCTCTGCAGTGCTGTGTCATCGCGGTACTGACATGTGAGATTAGCGCGTACGACTTGGATCGACGAGACGTGTGTATACATACCTGAGGCAACAGCGGACGCTGATCCTCGTCGCGTTTGCGTCTCCCGAAGCACGATGAGAGTGCCATGGCGATGATTGCGGCTGGAGCTTGTCTCGGAGAAACGCAGCTGGGGTGGAATGGCTGTAAACAGCTCTTTTAAGGCTCGATCAAAGCGCGTAGGTCAGGATGACGAGAGGGAGCTAGCGACGTCATGCCGTTCGTCGATCCCGCGGCTCCACATGCGCCAAGGCTGGTGCTCCCATTCCTGGTCTTGCGGAGTGGAAGTGCATATCAACATACATACTATATGCCAGGTCTCATGTGCATGTATATGTTAATACACGTGTACGTATAAGCACATCACTCATCTTGGAGGTCGCCTAGAACAGTTCTTGAAAGCATCTACTGAGTCGACGCAAAACTGTCACAGCATGCAGCTGCATCCGATATGTGCACATGTAGAATTGAGGCTTCGAGTGCCGGCACGATCAAGACCAAGACAAGATTATTTGTTGAGCGTCTATGACGAGCACAAGGGCGATACACCAAGGCTACAGCTGAAAGCAGGGTTTGGCCAGAGCAGCTAGTGCAAGTAGTTGAGCTTGCACTTGCCAGAAATCCAGATCTCGCAAGTCCGCACAGCCACCACAGCCACAGGCAGCTTCCCCGCACCACTTGCACTGTCGCGTGCTACTAGCACGCAATGGCCATGGGCCTGCCGAGAGAGCATGGGCCCGCTGGATGCTTTTCCATCGGGGAATTCTAGACGTTCCAGCGCATCGTGCATTACTCCATCTGTAGGTGGCATTGTGCCAAAGCGACGGGCTTTCTCAGGCATGGAGGCGGTGTTCAGGCCGCTGGGGCGACTTTGCATTCTTGTCGGGGAAGCGGCCCACTGTAGAAGAAGAAGGGCCCTGGAAGAACCCTTACTGCATTCTTGTAGCCATGCGTCAGGTAAGGGCATTCTAGATCGGATTAGGCCTGACTCGCTTACCGGGGTTGTCAAGAGACGGTGAGACTTGACAGTTGCATGGCGGTTACAGTTCTGCTGCACGCCCAAGGCATTAGACAAGAGGCCGAGAAGCGTGTAAGAGGGCTCTGGGTTTGATTCGCAAGCTGCGTGTAGCGCTGACATGATTTTGCGAGAACGCTCACCGAGAAACTCCGTAACCTCCCGTGGCGCTGTCAAGTTGTGGAGTCGTGTGCCCCATTTCTCGGAAGAGAACGAACTGGACACGTGCCCGAGGCGGCTAACTTTACCTGCTTTACCCAAGGAGGCCATCAAGCTTTCCCCACAACTGCGGACGATCCACCCCGGCCGCATATGCAGCTGTCGAATGTTTGTCCGAGACAGCGCCTTTTTGGTAGGTTCACGCACAAGAAATGAGCGGCCGCTGCAATTGAGACATGACATGTACCTGGACGGTATGAAGGGCGTGGGCCGGGTCGGACTTGGGGCGCCATTCAGCAGCTGCCTTATTTTTTGGTTGCGTTATTTTTGTTACAGATTTGGAGCGCAGATTGCGATCGCGCCGGCTTCCCCTGACACCACCCGTCCGCCTAAATTGGGGGAAGGGCAAAGGGACAGGGGCAATGTGAGTTGAGCGTTAAGAAGAAAAAATTGCTCCCGCGGGTAGTGGTACTGGCACTGGGAAGAGGCACACCGCCTTGGGCGACTAGCAAGCCGTCGGATCGGTGTATAGATGGATGGAGCCGAATGCGGATCCGCCAGAGGATTGGTAGAGCAGATACGGTGTGTGGTGGTATGGCTAAAGTCCGGAAGCCGCACTATTAGGATGGGCAACGTCAAGACTGTTCCGGGTTGTTGGTGCGTGGCAAAGAGGCGTGAGACAAATCCCGTAAGACGAAGCCGATTAATAATAGACACCGTGTTGCGGATCAAAACCACGCATGGACACGGACATGTTGGTGAAAATGCCTCGATATGCCTGACTGTATGTGTGTGTATGTGGGTGTGTGGCTCGATACGAGCTGAAGCAGACGGAGCCCGAGGGGACGGAAGTATGTACGGCGGGAAGCACACAGTCGAGTCGACAAGCCCGACAGAAGCAAATGGGCGCCGTGTAAGTATGCGGATTGGAGCCCATCGGTGGGTAATGCGGCGTTCGCTGCAAGGCCGGCCAGAGGCGTGCGTTCCGAATGCTCCCGACAATATGCACGTCTGCCCCATGATCCCTGCTACCCGGCCGCTGTGGCTGTGGCACGTCGAAAAAATTATGGGCGTGCCTGTCTGTGTCGGCGGTTTCAGGTAGTCGGGGTGCAGGCAGCAAGAAGATAGAGTTGTCGTCTGCAGTCTTCGTGACAAGACGCGTTGCAAGCCGTCTGATGCATCTGGGCGTATGGCTGCTGGACGGGCACGACGCCGGCGTTCATCATGGCGGGAGCAAGGGTGGCCAGGTTGGGGATGGGGAAAATGCGACTGGCGTGATGGTTACAGGCTGACCAACCCAACGGGCTGGTCTATGCTTCCCCTACACGCACACACACCTTGACGGCGAGAACGGATCTCCTCACACTGTCTCTTGCGGAACCCAGACCCCTCCCGATAGGCTATTCGCTATGTAGCCCCAATCCTCCGCACGCCCCAGGTGGCCTATTTCCCTGACATCTTTTTTCAATTGCCGACGGAAGTTTCATCCCATCTCAATGCACCGATTCAGGTCGCTTATAAAAGTGACGGCTCCCGCTCAAGCCTTCCGCTCTTCAATCCCTAAACCCTCCCCTCGATACATGGCTACAGTTGCCACTCACAATATGCCTTCTGCCACTCGCCCCAGCTACGCCCGCAAGTTGACCACAACTTCGGGCGACTATGACATGTCATACACCCCAGACGTCCGCCGCAGTCTCGGCACCTACGGCCTCACCCCTCCAGCCGTCGAGAGCTACGATGTCCAGACCGACCGATGTGAGTTGGACCATTGTACCCTCTAGACTGCAATTGCTGATTTGCCCATAGGCCTTCGCCTCCTCGCCATGAAGCCCACTCCCCTCGAGAAATTCCAGTATCTTGTCCACCTCCGAGCCACCAACGTCCACCTCTTCTACCGACTCCTAGGCGAGAACATCAAGGTGAGCAAATACAACCCATGGATTGTCTAGAGTCACAACTGACACATACCCAGGAATTAACTCCTCTCATCTACACCCCGACCGTCGGCGAGGCCTGCCTACGATGGCACGAGATCTGGACCCAACCCGAGGGCATGTACCTCTCATGGAGCGACCGCGGCAACCTCCGCAAGATCCTCGACAACTGGCCACACGAGGTCGACATCACTGTGCTCACTGATGGTTCTCGTATCCTCGGTCTTGGTGACCTTGGTGTCAACGGCATGGGCATTCCCGTCGGCAAACTCGCTCTCTACACGGCTTGCGCTGGTATCAAGCCCGACAGCACTCTCCCCCTCACTCTCGATCTAGGAACCAACAACAAGGCCCTCCGTGACGACCCTCTATACATGGGTTCCAGGATGCCCAAGGTTACCCCCGAGCAAGAAAAGGAATTCCTCGACGAGCTCATGGTCGCCCTCACCGACCGATGGCCCAGGTACGTAGTAATCTTTTTCTGACTCATCTGCCAAAATACTAACAATATCACAGCATTGTCATTCAATTTGAAGATTTCAAGAATCCCTTCCCCGCCCTAGAACGCTACCAGAACCAATACTCTATGTTCAACGATGATGTCCAGGGTACTGGTGCCGTCATTGTTGGTGGCTTCATCAACGCCGTCAGGGCCTCTGGTGTCCCAGCAAAGGACCACAGGGCTATCTTCTTGGGCGCCGGAAGTGCCGGTGTCGGTGTCGCCAAGCAGATTGTTGAGTACTTCATTAAGGAGGGTTTGACAGAAGAGGAGGCTCGCCGCAAGTTCTGGTTCGTTGACTCAAACGGACTTGTCACCCTTGACCGCGGCGACAAGCTCGCTGACCACAAGGTCTACTTTGCTCGTGACGACAACAGCGGCCGTCAATACCAGTCGCTCAGCCGCCTCATTGACTACGTACAGCCCACCATTCTCATGGGTCTGTCAACTATTGGCGGTGCATTCAACAAGGACATTCTCGAGAAGATGGCCTCGCTGAACAACCGCCCCATCATCTTCCCCCTCTCCAACCCTTCGAGCAAGTCTGAGTGCACATTCGAGGAGGCTGTCCTTGCGACTGAGGGTCGCTGTCTCTTCGCATCCGGCTCTCCTTTCCCATCAATGGAGTACGATGGCAAGCTGCTCACCCCCGGCCAGGGCAACAACATGTATGTGTTCCCAGGTATCGGACTTGGTGCCATTCTTTCCAAGGCTGTTTCTATTACACAAGACATGATCTACGCTTCCGCCGAGTACCTCTCTACCTCGTTGAACAGGCAAGAGGTTGCCGATGGCTGGTTGTACCCTGACATTCGCCGTATCCGCGAAGTCTCTGTCGTTGTCACCCGCGGTGTCATCCGCGCTGCTCAAAAGAACGGTGTTGACCGTACCGTTGAGTTACGCGACATGAGCGACGAGCAGCTCGACGACTTCATCAAGAAGAGCATGTACGACCCACACACGGAGAACCAATACTTTGACCGCAAGATGTCACAACTCGTCTCAAGCGAGAAGCTCAACGGCACACACGTTGGCGTGACCGAGGTCACCAACGGTATGGCTCACTTGTAGTCTTCCTCGTCTTCTTTCGACACATTTCTGGCGCCAACATTTTTAATCGCTGAATATGTTATCTTTTTTTTCCTTGTTTCGGTCGACACTTTATTTGGGCACAAGGGAAATTGGGACACTAAGTTTTCCTCCTTTTCTTTAGGCGAGGGACTAGAATGGTTTCGATACCCTACTATTTTCATGGCTTCCTATCTCTCACAGGACACGTGTAGTACATGTAGATATTTCTCTACTCGGTGTAGCCGGGCACACCGAAAAAAGGGCAAGAATTCAATAAGTTTAGAGTTTATATCTGTTGACTTTTTATGAACTATGCCTTGAATGTGGGGGATGCTCCGTATGTGATGCACTGTCGTTGAATAATGACATTCTGCTCAGACTTGCTACCACACCTGTCCCCCATCTCAAGGAGAAAGTTATATTACGTACACGATACCCTCCGCGATGCCCCTTCACAACACCCTCCGATTCTCATGTATTTTCTTTTTTTTTCCTTTTCTCATCAGCTAAACCCATCTCATCGCCATTCCCACTACCAGACCATTCACCATGGCAATCCAGAAAAAAACCCATACTTAACTCCTCCCACCCATGCCCTTAACACGGCAGCAAGCCACCTTTCCTACTACTACTGCTACTACTTCCCACCCACGTAACACCACTAGCGGGAAGGCCCGCAAACACCCCCCGGACCCATGTCCCACCGCCTATGCCGGCCTGGCCTCGCCGGTGTATCTGCGGGACGGGGCCGGGAGCGTGGGCGCGGGAGGAAAGGGCGCACTGGTGCCTTTTGCCCCACGCCTTGTTGCAGAAAGGAGGCTTTGCCTATTTAGGGGGTTTGGTAGTTGTACGGGAAGGGAGGGAGGGGAGTGTTGGGGGGG